GCAGTCCAACTTTGCTAAGCAGTATGAGTTGGAAACAGTATTTAGAGTGCTCGTCAGCGGGATCAATCTATTCAGGACTTCTACATTGAGATGACAGGCCTCTGGGATCAGTTGGCTCTCACAGAACCATCTAGCCTCAAGGCACTAGATGCTTATATTAAGTTTCGGGAACAGGGTCATTTAGTACAGTTCTTAACGGCTCTCTCCCCTCAGTATGAAGCTATCCGTGGTGGCATCCTTCATCGGTCTCCTCTTCCCTCTTTGGATGCTATTGTTCATGAGCTCCTCTTCAAGGAAACCCATCTTAAGACGACCAATCAGACTCTTGTCTCCATTTGTTTTCTTTGCTCCTACAAGCCTCCTCTGTTGTCGACCCCACCATCCCTTCAGCTTCAGGCCACTGCAGAGCCCAAGAAGGGGCCACTAGCCACTAATGAGTGTGCCTTTTGCCATCAAAAAGGCCATTGGAAGTACAATTGTCCCAAGAAAGGACGTCAGTCTGCTCAGTTATCTCAGCCACCTCAAAACCAGTTCCGAGGTCTTGCTCCAAGTACTTTTCGGCCTCCTGTTGCTTATACTGCATCTACTCCAGCTCCTGATCTTGACTTGGCTTCCTTAAGTGCCCAAATTGCTCAGCTTTAGCATCTCTTGTCCACCTCCCAGTCATCCCCATTTGCCTCTACACTCACCTCTCTTCATTCAGGTTTGCTTGGGTCCTTTTCAGGTATCTCCTTGTCTGTTTGGCTTTTGACTCTGAAGCCTCTCATCATATGACTCCTCACCTTTCCTTATTTCAAAACTGTATCCTCCCTCCCTCTCCTATTATTGTTAATGGGTTTAGTATACCTATTCTATCTATTGGGCCTGTCTTACCCTCTGTTATGTCTAATGTTACTATTCTCTTTGTTCTTTATATTCCTCAACTATCTGTCAGTTTATTATCTATCAGTCAACTTGACGCTTCTGGTTTTGATATTATCTTTTCCTCTTCTGTCTGTTGTGTGGAGGATCGAGTGTCCAAGAAGCATATTGGGACCGGCCGTAGAGTTAAAGATCTCTATATGGTCGAAAGCTTACATATCTCTCTATCCACCTTTCCAGTTACCTTTTCCTCGTTTTAGTTAGATTCTCAGTCGAGTCAGATTTATTTATGGCATTCTCGCCTAGGTCATTTGTCTGTTGACCGCTTATGGTCTTTAGCTCAGTCAAGATTATTAAGTAAAGTTTCTCCTAATCAAATTGATGAATGTCGAGGGTGTAAACTCACCAAAATGTCGGCTTTACTATTTAATAAAAGTACTTCTGTTTCTGTTTCTCCATTTTCTCTTGTGTATACTGATGTCTGGGGATCCTCTCCTATTCTCACTAAAGGGGGTTCCGCATACTATGTGTCATTTGTTGACAATTTCACCCGTTATACTTAGGTTTATCTTATAACTTATAAATCTGATTTCTACCAAATATATTGTATATTTCAATCTATGATCACTACACAATTTGGGGCTACCATTAAATTGTTATGATCTAACTTGGGTGGAGCATATTTTAAAACTGAGTTCTATAAATATTTGGCCAATTTGGGTACCATTCACCAAACGTCTAGTAAAATGGTTGCGCTGAGTGTAAACACCATCCTCGCCTTGAAACAGCTAGGTCTCTCCTCTCTGCCTCTGTTCTGGCTCGTTTTTGAGGTGAAGCAGTTCTCACTGCTGCTTTTCTTCTAAACCGTATGCCTACTCCCCTAATTTCTGGTCGTTCTCCTTATGAAGCTCTGTTCTCCCTGATAGTTTTAGGGAAGAGAAGAGTTAGGGAATGAGTGAGACCTCATCCCCTTTTATATTAGAAATAAACCATAATTACAAGAGTGCCAACTCATAACAGCCCATTACATAGATCAAGGAACAAATTAGAATAATATCATTTCCTATTCTAACATGTGAATATAATTTCTTATTCTAACACTCCCCCTCATCTTGTATGCCCAGCTTGTTTAGAATGTCATAAAATGATTTGCTCCCTATTCCTTTGGTGAGAATATTTGCTAGTTGGTTCCTAGTCTTCACAAATAGAGTACATATAGTGCTACTAGTGAGTTTTTCCTTGATGAAGTGCCTATCAATCGCCACATGCTTGGTTCTGTCATGTTGAACCGGATTATGAGCTATACTGATCGCCGCCTTGTTGTCACAGTACAATCTCATGGAATCGGTCTGATGAATCCCCTAGTCTTCCAACAATAGCCTAATCCATAGCAACTCACATACACCCTGAGCCATAGCTCTAAATTCTGCCTCAACACTAAATCTAGCAACCACATTCTGTTTCTTACTTCGCCATGTGACTAAGTTGCCTCCAACAAATGTGTAATATCCTTGACTAAGTTGCCTCCACACTGAGATGTCCATGTTTCGAGAAATAGAGACCCTCACCAAGAGAGGACTTTAGGTACCTCAGGATTCTCATGACCGCTTCTACGTGAGAAATTCTAAGGGCATGCATAAACTGGCTAACCATGCTCACTGCAATGGCGATGTTTGGACGTGAGTGGGATAAGTATATGAGCTTACCCACTAGCCTCTGATATCGTCCCCTGTCTACTGGCTTTCCTTCTTGATCCTCACTTAGTTTCTGGCCCGGTTCTAGAGGTGTATCACATGGTCTACCTCCAAGCATCCCAATTTCCTTTAGCAAGTCAAGGGCATACTTCCTCTGGCATATGAAGATACCATCCTTGGACCGAGCTACTTTAATGCTCAAGAAATACTTCAAATGACCCAAGCTTTGGTTTCGAACTTCTTGGCCAAATATTCTTTTAACCAAGGGATTTCCGTAACATCATTCCCTATCAGAACAATATCATCCACATAAACAATCAGAGTTGTAGTCTTACCATATGAGGAGTGTTTCACAAATAAGGTGCGATCAACTTGACTTTGCTTGAACCCATATCCAAGGTTGTTAAAATCAGAATCCTAAGTAGGATCGGTGAGAGGGTCTAGTGGATCGGATCGTAGGATCGGATCGAGAATCGTAAGATCCTACTTTTTATTAAAAAAAAAAAGATAAAAATTGAAATTAAAATGATACATATTAAAAATAAGGTGAAAAATCATAAAATCTACGATCCTACTTGCGATCCTACCTACGATCCTATACGATCCCATACGATCCCATGCGATCCTACACGATCCTGTTATAACATCGATCCTACAACGATCTGGATCGTTTTGGCAAAGTAGGATCGTACGATCCTACGATCCGGATCGCGATTTTAACAACCATGCCCATATCTCAGCATAGATTGAGCAAACCTTTCAAATCACGCCCTAGGCGATTACTTTAGCTCATAAAGTGAATCTAGAGCCTGCACACTTTACCTTTGGACTTAGCATCCTCAAAACCAAGGGAAATATCCATATAAATCTCTTTTTCTAGGTCTCCATGAAGGAAGGCATTCTTCACATCAAACTAATGAAATGGCCAATCCAAGTTTGCTGCAAGAGAGTAGTATTCTTACAGTGTTCATCTTAGCAACCGGGGCAAATGTCCCATGGTAATCTACTCCATAAGTCTGCGTGAAACCCTTTGCAACTAGTCTTGCCTTGTAACGTTCGATGAAACCATCTACATTGTGTTTGACAGTGTACACCCACTTACACCCAACTGGATGTTTGCCTCTAGGTAACTCCACTAACTCTCAAGTGTCATTCTTACTGAAAGCTCCCATCTCTTCCATCATGGCATGTTTCCAATCAGGAATAGAGAGAGCATCCTAAAAATTGTTAAGCAAACTCACAGAAGAAACTTTAGACATAAGGATTTTATATGAGGGAGACAGATTAGAATAAGTCACATGATTAGTAATAGGATGCTAAGTACATGACCTAACCCCCTTCCTATTAGCAATGGAAACATCAAGATTTGAAAACTCAGGAATAGAAGCACTAGGATCAGAATTACCTAAACTCTCAGGAAAGGGGGGTGACTCTAGACACTCATCTGGAGAAGTAGTTAGCAGTAGAGAAAGAAAAGTAGTCTCTTGCACCCAGGTGACTTGCTGTCTGTCCTTATCCCTGACATAAACTTTGCCTGCGTCGTCAACAACTACTGGCTCATCATCCTCTATTTGTTTAACCACTAGCAGAAGTGGAACAAGAATCTCTTCAAATCAAGGCTCCCCAGGGAAGGGATAACAGGGACACTGGAGAGGGTATAACACTTATAACCCTTTTGTGTGGCAGAGTAACCCAAGAAAACGCACTTAAAAGACTGAGGATCCAATTTAGCACGAGTAGGGGAATGATTGTGGACAAAGCAAACACAGCCAAAGATCTTAAGGAAAATGGCAAACCCAGAGGAGGTGGACTCGAACAGCACTTGAAGAGGTGTTTGTTTGTGAAGGACTCGAGTAAGAAGACGATTAATCAAATAAGCGGCAGTGAAAATTGCATCCCCCCCAATAAGATCGAGGAACACGCATTTCAAAGGATAGACAACGAGCCACATCAAGGAGATGACAATTTTTCTGTTCGGCAACACCATTTTGTAGAGGGGTATTAGTGCATGCAGGAAGTGTCATGAATAATGCCATAAGTGGCGAAATAGATGGCAAGACCAGAGTCAATATATTCCCCCCATTCTCAAAATGTAAAATTTTGAGAACCGCCCCAAACTTAGTGCAAATCATTTTATGAAGGTCTTGATATACCAAAAACACCTCACTTTTATCTTTCATCAGATAGACCCAAGTGGCTGTAGAACAATCATCTATGAAAGTGACAAAGCATTTTTGACCTTTTAAAGACAAAGCGCGAGGGACCCCAGACATCAAAATGAATTAAAGTAAATGGAACTGAACTTTTATTAATAGAAGGAGCAAAAGAAGCTCGGTAATGAATTAAAGTAAATGGAACTGAACTTTTATTAATAGAAGGAGCAAAAGAAGCTCGGTGCTATTTTCCAAGTTGACAAGACTCGCATTGAAAATCAGACACATTATTTTTCTCAAAAACAAAAGGGAATGCTTAAGGAGTACAAAAGAAAGATGTCTTAAACGGCGGTGCCATAGCCAAAGGTCTTCCTTGGTGGATGGTAACTGCATAAATGAGTGAGCCAGTTTATCTGTCTAAATTAGAATGTAGAGACCATGTTCCTCTCTACCACTGCCATTTTCCTTCCTCATGATAAGGTCCTGGAAAAAACAATGATCAGGGAAAAACGTCAAGCTACAATTCAAATCACGATTAATACTACTTAAAGATAAAAGATTAACACTAAATTTGGGAACATGGAGGACAGAGGATAAAAGAAGGGAAGAGGTGACATAAATTAAACCTTTCCCTGATACAGAGGACATAGTACCATCAGCAAAACGTACTTTTTCTTGACCTAAAGAGGGGTTATACTCTGAGAATAAATGAGAGGAACCAGACATATGATTGGAAGCACCAAAATCAATAATTCATGGCACAGTGGTATGAGATAGCAATGCACATGGAGGGGAAGCCAAGTTACCTGAATTGAAAAAGGAAGAAAAGGGTGCACCTGTGGTAGATGTGGAGACTCGACGGTCAAGCAAGTAGCAAAGAGCAATCTCAAAATCCGAGGCAGATAACCCCGAAACATCAGCAGCCAGAAAGTCAACTGGAGATGAAGGTGGTGGCTCAACCGTGTCTGAAAGATGTGCCCGAGCATTGGCCCCTCAACCTCTAGACTGGCTGGATCTACCCCTGCAAGAACCAGGGCGGTCGCCTCGGCCGCCAGAAGAAGTCCCATGCAGCTTCCAACAAGTCTCTCAGGTGTGGCAAGATCGACAACAGTAGTCACAGAAAAGATGATTTTTCTCAGAAGAAGGATGAGAACCACGTTTTACCCGCTTTCCATCTCGAGGGGGTGCAGAAACCAAGGCAGAGTGATTAGTAGTGGTAGAAAGAAGCATAGCAGAGCGGTGACTCCTCATGCTGCACAAAAGCAAAGGCGTCCTCGAGAGAATAATGCACATCCATGCCAAGGACTGCTTCGAACCGGATCATACTCCACATTCAGACCTTCCAAGAACTTGAAGACCCGCTCGTGGTCCACAAACTTTCGGTAACCAGCAGAATTAGTTGGACAGACAGGCTTGTAATCCTGAAGGTGATCAAGACACTTCCACCCATTGCTAAGAAAGGTAAAATACTGGAGGATAGTCATCTCATCTTGTATCGACCTTTCAATGGATCAACGCGATTTGAATGCCTGGGAGAAATTCCTTTTGCGGGAACAAGTAGTAGCCACAGCCTCCCAAATGTCTTGTGCAGTATCCATAGACAAGTATCCTTCACCAATCTCAAGAACCATAGAGTGTATCAGTCATCCCATGATCAGAGAATTTGTAATTTCCCACTGGTCATAACTGGAATCTGTAATACTAGGTGCTTGCATTCTCCCATCAACATAACCCATCTTTCCCATACTCTTGAAAAAAAGAGTCTGACATGCTAGGTAGTTTTGACCATTAAATAGAGAAGCGATTTTAAGGCTAGGATTCATAGTGTCAGATGTAGTAATCATGATGGAACTCTCCCCCTTTAGTGGCTGAGAAATAGTTGTTGATTCACTCGTCAATTCAGCCATATATACTCTACAATCCTAACCCAAGAATACTGCACTAATCATAAAAATTGGAAAGATAGAATGAGATAAACAAGCAATGTGTAGTTTTGACCACTATGGGATCATAATATAATGTTCAGTTTTTCAAAGTAAAACAGGGCCTTATTAAATGACAAAAGTGTGACCCATCAAGTAAACAGAGAGATAAAGTTAGGTACTGTGTAGAACAGATAAACAGACAGATGAACTAAAAAGATCATACCCAGAACTAGAGTAGATAGAGGGCAGCGGAGCAGTGGATGGAGCCAAAACAGACAAAGACACTATTGGATGACCAGAAAAGGTGCCGACTAGCCCAGGTGAGCTTCCGACAACAATCAAGTAGGCATGGGTAGCCTTTGGCAGGACCTGGGTGCCTTTAGCAGGGCCTGGGTAGCTGTCAACAGGGCCAGGGTGGCCTTCGGTGACTGTCGACCAGGCCTAGGTGTCCTTCGGTGATTGTCAACCAAGCCTGGAGGGGCTTTTAGCAGTAGTCGACCAGGCCTAGGTGGCCTTTGGTGACTGTCGACTCAACCTAGATCACCTCTGTTGTTGTCAGGACCCCGACTCTCACAAGAGGTTGATGAAACTCTATGGGTGGTTGTGTGGTGGCTGGGTGGTGATGTATAGGTTTAGGTTTGTGGCTCTGATACCATGATAGTTTTATAGAAGAGAAGAGTTGAGTTAGGGAATGAGTGAGACCTCATCTCCTTTTATATTAGAAATAAACCATAATTACAGGAGTGCCATAAGGCATGATTTCAGGGCCAACTCATAACAGCCCATTACATAGATCAAGGAACAAATCAGAATAATATCATTTCTTATTCTAACATGTGAATATAATTTCCTATTCTAACACTCCCAACTTCCCAATTACTCTCTCCTGTGTGTATTTGGATCTGCTTGTTTTGTCCTTCTTCCTCGTAAAGATAGGACCAAACTTAGTACTCAGTTTGTTCTATGCGTCTTTTTAGGCTACAGCCTTACCCAGAAAGGGTATCGCTGTTTTGACCCTGTTTGTCATCGCCTTTATATCTCCAACCATGTTACCTTTCTCGAACGTCTGTCTTACTTATAGCTTCCCTCTATCATTACTCCAGTTTCCAAAGAAGATTTGGTTCACATTGATTCATTTCCTTCTGAGGTCCCTTCCGATGAGTACATCTCTAATGTTTCCCATGAACTTGTTCCCTCTACCACCCCTCTTGCTGAGTCCCTTTCCACTGACCCCCATGAGTCTGTTCCCTTTTCTCTTCCTCTTCCTCTAGCTCCCTCTTCATCTCCTTCTCCGTTGTTAATTTATTCCCGTTGAAAGGCTCTCCCTTCACCAGTGGTCTCTGCCACTATTGTCAATACTCCTACCTCTGAAGACTCTAATCTTGCCAATCGTAAGTATCCCCTTCACATCCGTAAATAGGTAGAAAAACTTGATTTTGCTAAAATATGTTTTTCTCCTTCATATTACACATTTTTGTCTGCTATCCACTCTTTTTCAGAACCCCAATCTCACAAGGCAGCTTGTTAGGATCCTAATTGGATTAGAGCTACACAAGATGACTTGTCTACTTTGTAGAAAACTACTACTTAGGAGCTAGTTCCTTTGCCTGCTGGCAAGAATCTGGTTGGTTGCAAATGAGTCTATAAAGTCAAGACTCATTCTGATGGTTCTCTTGAGCGCTACAAAGCTCACCTAGTTGCAAAAGGTTTCTCACAGGAGCATGGTATTTATTATGAGGAGACATTTGCCCCTGTTGCCAAGATGACTATTGCCCATACTTTGATCTCTACCACTGTTGTTTGTCATTGGCCTCTTTATCAAATGGATGTTAAGGCTTCGTTTGGAAAGTGGGTTGGCTTTTTGATTTTTTGGCTTTTTTAGCTATTTTAGCCTGGGGCTAAAAAGCCTAGTTTGGGAAAGACTTTTAGCTTTTTTGGCTTTTTTGACTTTTTTGTGAGAGAAGGAATGTAATGATTATGGGTTGAATGTAATGTTTTGTCTTATTGGGCTAAAAAGCCTATTTTGTTTTTTGTGACTATTTTAGCCAAAAAAGCCTCCAAACCAACTTGCCAAACGGAGCTTAAGAATGCTTTTCTTAATGGTTATCTCACTAAGGAGATTTATATGCGTCCTTCCCATGGCCTTCCTCATTCCTCTAGACAGGTTTGTCGTCTTTGGCGTGCTTTGTATGGTTTGAAACAATCTCCTCATGCTTGGTATAATAGTTTTCAAACAGCTGTTACTGAGCTTGGGTTTCATCCTTGTGCCCATGACTCTGCTTTATTTCTACTTCACACATCTACTGGTTTTGTTGCCTTATTACTGTATATAGATAATATGATCATCACTGGCTCTGACTGTTCTGCTATCTCTGAGTTCAAGTAGCATCTCTTTCGCACCTTTAAAATGAAAGATCTGGGCCATTGAGATATTTTCTTGGTATTGAGGTCGCTTCTTCTCCCAAGGGCTACTTTTTGTTTTAGGTCAAGTATGCCAATGAGGTTATTCATCAAGCCGGTCTTACTGACACTAAGATTTCTGATACCCCCATTGAATTTAATGTGAATCTCAACGCTATTGATAATGTTCCTCTAGATGATCCTACTTCATATCGAGAGCTTGTAGGTTGCTTAGTCTATCTAACGGTTACTCATCCTAATCTTGTCTATGTTGTTCATATGGTTAGCCAGTCTGTTTCTCCTCCTCGGTCTACACATTGAGCTACTTTGGTTCGGTTTCTTCATTATCTTCGGGGTACTATATTTCAGGACTTACTGTTGTCTTCTACTTCCTCTTTGAACTTGGTGGCTTATGCTGATTCTGATTAGGCTGGTGATGTCACTAATCGCAAGTTTCTTGGCGATTCATTGATCTCTTGAAAAAATAAGAAACAAACTGTTGTCGCTCGCTCTACTGCCAAAGCTGAGTACCGTGCTATGGCTCATGCTACTGCTAAGATTGTTTGGCTTCGTCGTCTCCTATCTAATTTGGGTGTACCTCAGTCTTCTCTGACCTCTCTATTGTAACAACCGCAGTGCTATTCAGATTGCCCATAACACTCTCTTCCATGAGCAGATGAATCATGTTAAGATTGATTGTCACTTTGTCCGTCAACATCTGCAGTCTGGCTCTCTCTTTCCCTTCCTTTCGTCTCTTTGGCTCTGCAACTTGCTGACTTCTTCACCAAAACTCACACCACTGTTCGGTTTCAGTTTCTTCTTAGCAAACTCTCAGTGTTTTCTGCTAAAACACCTTGAGTTTGAGCAAGGGTGTGAAAATATTAAATTTTTTGTATATATGGTAGTATATATATTTGGTATATATTAGGGATTGAGCAAATAATTCTCATATTTCCTTTTTCATTCTAGGGCTAGACTGTTATATAAACCAATGTATTCTTGTATTACAGACTATCGAATATACAAAAAGACATTCAGAAATCTTACAGAGCATTCTCCAAATTTACTACATGAATCCCATATTTACTCCCAATGACCACATGCAATAGAGCATTTTGCTAAACATGGAATCCTTACAAGCATTTACCATGCAAAGCAGTACTCTCTTCCTCCTCGTGTCCCACAAGAAATTCTCATCATTTTTTTACATTTTTGTTTGCCACACTCAATAATATATTAAACAATGAAAGAGAATAAATAGGTACACTTGACAAAACTGACTCAACCAAAGTAAATCCTACCCCTTCGGATACTAAAGCTCTTTTCCATCCTTCTCAAATACCCTCAAAATAGAGAACTAAACAATTAAGACTCTTCTGCAGAAGAGAAAAATGGTACCATCCAAAACTAAAGATGAGATACTTAAACACTATCCTGGTTGCTAATTACAAGACAATCCATTGTACCCTCTCGTTGGCCCCTATCAACCATTCTACCCAATACACAAACCACTAACATGAACCCGAAAAAGAAAAAAACAACAAAAACAAAAACAAAAACAAAAACAAATCATTCTACTTAATACATCAACCCAACTTTTTTTCTTTTTTTTTTTGGGATAAATAATACCTCAACCCAACTTGGATCCATTTCCTCCACCAAATTCCAAAACCTTTTGTATCCATAAAAAGAATAATAAAAAATAAAAACAAAAACCAAGAATATCCGATCCGCATGAACATAAGCTTTCTCAAAATTAGCTTTAAAAATATCATCTTGCTCGAGATTTACGTTCCTCCACTATCCAAACTCTGATGACCCTCAACAAAAGCTCTAAACAATAATTAGTCTTCTAGACAACATTAGCTAAAATCCTGTATAATTTAATAGCTGAACTAATTATTAGCAAAAGCAAAAATAATAACTAAACTAATAGGCCTAACATCTCCAATCCTCCGAAAAATCTCCTTTTTCATAGATCAAACATATGAATGTGGCATTTATACAAGCATTGATCACTGCATTTCAAAAAATTCCACAAAGGCCATCATAAATACGTCTTTACAATGTCCCAACAATCTTAGGAAATAGCCATGGCGAAATCATCTAGCAATGGAGACTTGACCTTCTCACAATTAAAAACTGCACGTCTAAGTTCCATTTCATCGAAAGGCATTTCCAACCAACTTGTTTTCCTAGCATCAATTGGATAGCAATTTAAACCATCTAAACCCGATCTAACTTCCCCTTCCAAAGAATGAAGTCTACAAAAAAAATTTAAATATATATATATATATGTAAGACCACATTAACAATCAAATCATCTCTATCCACAATCTACCAAATCAAATCTCAACATTTAGGAAATTTACTTTGCCTTTTTCCATTTGTGAACTTCTGAAACAATTTGGAATTGTTTTCCCTTTCTTTTTAGCCAATTTATGTGTGCATTTTGCGTCCAAGAAGTTCCTTCCCTAAAAGTAACATTTTCAAATTTGATCTTTTAGCTCAATCTCTCCCTCCTACGAGGTTCATCGAGTTCACCCAAGCCCCTAACCTATCCAATTCTTCAATCCTTCTCACAATCTCATTTTTCACCTCTCTTAAATACCCAAATACCTCCTCATTCTAACCCTTCACATTCTCCTTAACAGACTTCAACTTCCTGACAAACTTAAAACCGTTTCATTCATAAACCCTATTATTTTCTCACTTCTTAAAACATCTCTAAAACAAATGGTGTTCAAGCCACATATTGTCAAATCTACATAGCGGAAGATCCCATTTTAAAGAACTACTCTCTACAACAATAGGGTAATGATCATAAACTACTTTAGACAACACTTCGTATCTCATATTTGGAAATCTTTCCTTCCACCACAAAAAATATAAGAATCTAAATCTATTACATACTAATTTTTTCTAAAAATTTGACCAATTAAAAAAAAAAGTCTAACAATCGAGTATCAATTAATTCACAATCTCTAATGAAAGCATCAAAATCCCTCATACTCCTTGTAACCCAACCCTCATTTGATTTTTCAAAATTTGATCTAACCACCAATCACTACCATCCCTTTTCCTAAAACTATTCACACTGAAAATTCCCCCACCACTATTTCATTTTCAATAACTACTATCTCCCCCTAACTCACCACATGAAGGTAAAGCAAGTAAGCAATTCATTTCCTATATCTAGAACCCCCACCCCCACAATATATATATATATATATACGTTCTTAATCAATTTCCTATCAAACTTTCCAATTTTTTGTTTCTTGATGGGCTACAATACACGAGCTAGTCCTAACCAAGAAATCTTTCACTACACCCTTGCTTCAAGACACATTCCAACTTAATATTTTCATTAGTAACCAATTCTATCCTTGACCTCTTTCAAATGGCCATCATCATTGATTCTTGAATGAAACCTCTTTAAATCTCTTAACACTCTCCTATTATTACCATTTCCTTTCATTACACTTTCCTCTTTTTTATTTTATCCCCTCCTCGCACTTTGCCTTCCCATTCATTTCCAAGCTTAATAAAGACAATCCCTTATTGTACGATCCCTTATTATACCTTTTCTTGTGTGTGTTTATCGGGTTGCTCACCCTAAGCATGTTTTTCTGATATGTTTTACTAATACCAAAAAAGAAATGTGTTTTGATAAACCCCACAACGCTGCATATTTTGGCAGCACATCCTTGGTGATGTAATTCAAGTACTTAATAAACCCTAGTCCTATAACAATTACCTTATAACATTATAAGCAACCGGTGAACTGAAATATCAAGGGTCCTTTAAGTCCACACACAATCTTATGCATCTCAAATCAAAGTGGCCTACAGTGCTGCAATATAATCTTCTTCTTTTTTTCCACAAGAGAAAACGGCACTTGGAGTAGGGTTATGCAACTAAACTTAAATCTAAATAAATTACCTCTTTAGACACCCAGAGCTGTCTAGATCTGTACTTAACCTAAAATCACAGTCATGTTGAAAGCTCAACTGCATATGATTCAATTTGCAATATGCGAGTATGGCAAAAATTAAAATTCAAGAGTTATATTTAGGCCTTGTTTGGCATGATTTAAAAAAGTCAAAAAGTCACTATCCTATTTAAGTCACGTCATCTTATTTAAGTCACATCACTTCTCTATCGTATCACTTCAAACCCAACCCATATCCAATCCATATTTTATAAAAAGTCAAAAAGTGCACTTATTTAGATCATCCCAAACCACCCCTTGAAGGAAAGCCCAATAATCAAGGGATGATTCAGAAGAGATGCGTCCAGTAAAATGTTACCTTAATATAAGCCAAGGAATAGGTAGAAAAAGTCAAAAAGTCACTATCCTATTTAAGTCACATCATCTTATTTAAATCATATGACCTCTCTACCACATCACTTCAAACCCAACCCATACCCAATCCATATTTCATAAAAAGTCAAAAAGTGCACTTATTTAGATCATCCCAAACCACCCCTTAAAGGAAAGCCCAATAATCAAGGGATGATTCAGAAGAGATGCGTCCAGTAAAATGTTACCTTAATATAAGCCAAGGAATAGGTAGAATAAAAGAGAAAAAATGTAATCAAAGCAAAAAAATTCACTAGAAAGAGGAACATAAAAGCAGATACTCAAAAGGCAACAAGAAGAAATCACTAACCTCAGATAATTGCTGAGAGATGCTCCTGGGGTGATCCCCACTACTATAATTTGCCTGGCTTCCATCATTGGTTGAGTTCTCCCTGATACGCCCATTGATCATGGGTGTTTTTCCCTCATTCTTTGTTGCAAGGGCAACTCTTTTGGCAGCCTCTTGTAGAGCAACCATTGCCACGTTGTAACAGTCAACAGATTCTGCCCCTTCATCTACAAATTTGAAGGCCTCATGGCGTAAGGTATTATATCGGACAGTATGAGACTCCAAATAACTGCTAAATACATCACAAGGACGTTCTTCTAACATAATAGTGCTCTTGGCATTTCTTGTCCATCGTTTCAAAATGTAATGCAATGGAAGAGTAAGTACATTTGTCACTCTAAAGACGGCCAATATATGTCTGCAAAGAAGACCTGAGAACTCAAACATCTGGCAGCTGCAAGTTGCTCTCATCTCCAGGACATTAAATTTAACATAATAAGCTTTATGATCCTCCCCAAACTTTGCTACTTGATACGCTGTCACCTCTCCATTGTCTTCCACTTTGGATGCCATGAAAGTAAGAGTGCCAACCAACTCCTCTTGAAATCTTGCAAATAATTTTCTCGTGTACAGCTTAGATGCTTGTTTCTCCATGGGGGAAGGGGTCTTCAGAACAGGAGAAGCGTTCATTGTATCAAAATCTGCTTTCACTTCTTTTTCATTGCGACTGTCCAATGCTTTCTCGTACAGTTTAAAGAACTGATTTAGATTGGTTGATGCGTTCACAAACCCATCAAAATATGAGTTCATACTATCACTACGTTGTGTTATTGACATTTCTGCAAAAAATGTGTCCCGCAAATACACTGGTACCCATTGCCTGCGTGCAGAGTATATCGTCTGAAGCCACTCATGATCCCTAAGATCATACTTATCAACAAGTGATAACCAGCAAGATTCAAACTCCTCAATTGAATCAGCCAAGTTCACACATTTATGGAAGTCCGCTTCGAAATTTGGGTGCTTAAGAAACACATGGGACAGCTTCTCCTGGCATTTCTTAAAGATGTGCCATTTGCAGAAACGGTGCCGGGTGTCCGGGAAGACCTGCAAAATGGCTGCTTGTATCACCACATCGTGATCAGTAGTGATTGATAACGGAGGGCGGCCAGACATTGCCATAAGCCATGTCTTAAATAGCCAAACAAATGATGCTTCTGATTCATTCATTAGGAAAGCACAGCCGAACAACACAGGCTGTCCATGATGATTTATCCCAGTGAAGGGTGCAAAGGGCAAACGGTATCTGTTTGACCTGTAAGTCGTGTCGAATGTTACAGTATCACCAAAGTAAGTGTAGTTCATCTTTGCCTTTGGATCAGCCCAGAAGACATTACCTGTCTCATCGCCCTGCACAGCATAGAAGAAGGAAGGATTCTCAGCATGCATTTGCCTCAAATAATCCAGAAGAAGCTGAATGTCTCCCTCAAAGCTCCTCTGCCGATTAGTTCTTATGTAATTCCTACAGTCTACTTCTGTAAATCCAACTTTGCTGATACCACCATACTCTTTGATCAGAACTGACATAATCCTCCGGGGCCCCATTCCAGCTGCCTGTAAAGTATCTATCAAGGTCTTGGCAGGGCCAGAAATTTGGCGATGGGAGCGAAGGCAATGCACCTGATCTGGGGGAACAAGTTCGTGATTGTGTTCCTTGACAAAGCCGGAGACAACCCATTTCCCGGAGGAATCTTGTATCTTCACGGACAAGGATGCTTTGCATCCCACTCGGGTAATGGTGCGGGGGCGCTTGATCTCTCTATCTTTGGTGCGCTTCTCATTCAAGTTCCGGAACCCTTCTTTGGCACAAACGAAGGATCTCTGTATGATTGCTCCATCCTTCCTGGACCGCCTGGAGGAGCTAACACGGGTGCTGAATCCAACGCGGCGACCATATGAGTTGTAAAAAGCCTTGGCAGCCTCTTCAGATTCAAATTCCATGCCCTCATAAGGCTCAAGATCAGGGTCCCCTTCGGGAATGTAGATTTCTCCGCCACCAAAGCCGCCACCAGGGCCAGTGGGAGAAGCATCGTCGGCGGCCATATCTTCATCAATGACCAGGTGGTGGTGGTCATCGTCTCCACTGACAGCATCCCCACCTCCGAGACCTATATCGAATTCAATGACCTCATTTTCCATGTTCAGTTTTAAAGAGGCCACCCACTCCCCCACTGCGTATTGCAACAATTTGTTTTACAATCAGACCACCGTGATCGTGACCGTGATCGTCCAAGGCAAACAAAAATAAATAAATAAATAAATAAAAAGTTATTTAAAAAGGAAATTAAACCCACCGTCATATACGCGAGCGCTCCCGTGGTGTATATATGCAGGAAGAAGCGAAGAGTCGTTTCGAGGAGGAGGGTGTGAGCACCGCTGAATCTTCAGACCCTGGTAGTAGTAGTAGTCGTCGTAGTAGAAGAAAGAAACAATACAATACGATCAAACAAAGCAGCAGCGGTGGCAGTGGGGATGGATGGCAATAATAATCTTTCAAATGTTTGTGCTTAGTCGACTAGTGATATAGGAGGGGAGAAGACAAGGGATGATTGGTACTTTTTTTCTTTTCTAGGGTTTGTATAAACGAAATATTCAAGGAAACACAGTATGCCCCCAATACTCCCAACAGAGAAATTTGTTATTTATTTGATGAAAGAATAGCTTCGATGGATGGATGGATGAAGGGGTCTCGGACGGAGGGAGGATGCTGGGGGCACTGCTAGTGATGTCTTCCGTTTGCATATAGGTGCTGGTCTGGTCTGGTCTGGTCGCTGTGGTGAGCTTTTTTCGGGAAAATTCAGAAGAAAAACAATAATTATACCCCAAAAAGAAAATTGAACAAAACGACGACGACGCCGACCAATAATATATATGTGGGTAAATTACGCTGGCCTTGAGGTTTTAAACTTGTATTACAATTTAACCCTTCTGTTACACAATTGTTAATTCATTTAACAGAAAAATCTAATATAAACTATTAATTTTTAAAATATTTATTGAATAATACTATATACATCAATTAGTATATTAATTAGTGTATCAATTGATGATATGATATAATTTAAGATATTTTTCATATTTGTAATTTATATAATATAATGAGCAAAGTCAATAATAACGTTATAACTAATATCGACACACTAATAAGTTCATATACCACCACCAATATTTATTTTATCCTTATTTTTCATATCTCTCTCTTTATACTCTCTCTAAAAAATAAGAAAAAATTAGTCTAGAGTCCTTTTCTCACTTTTCGTAATGGAAGAGATTCACAAAATTATTTTTTGATGTCTAAAGTCCCTAAACATATATCAGAAAAATTTGACTCTTTGTCTCTACTCTACTCTCTCTCTCTCTCTTCTCCTCTCACCTACTGTCTTCTAGATCCAAGGCATTCAAATTAGTTACTTGACGTTATGGAGAAATGTTCACCTTCGCAACAAGCTCTGCTTTTCCACCCTCCTCTACGACCTCTTCCTCAACACCTTCTCCTCTGACTCCTCCCTCCGTTCCGCCACCGTCGCAGACCTCCGCGCCGTCCGGATCCGCGACCCGGCTTGTCTCTCCTTCTCCCACTGCCTCCTTAACTACAAGGCTTCCTCGCTCTCCAAGCCCACTGAGTCGCCCACAAGCTCTGGATCCATAACCGAAAACCCATTTCCCTCGCGCTCCATTCCTAGGTCTCCGATGTCTTCTTCGTCGATATTTACTTGGCGGCGAGGATCGGAAAGGGGGTTTTGTTGGATCATGTGACAACTATGATCTGCACAAACCATACCTAATCAACTTCTACTTTGCAAACTTGTCAGCATAAAAAGCAGCTCACGAGTAGGAAGACCAAGATAAAGATCTATTGCTCTACAACTGTGGACACGACAATGGAGTTACGCATCAGTGAACCCCAAAACAATTTCACAATTCCACTTTGCAGATAGTGCTAAGCCAAGTAAACTCACACTTCTCGTGCATATACCCTCATATGGTGCACCATTTAGAATTTCTCTCTGTGTGCCTTTTCTGTATTTTTTGAGAATTTCTCTAGGTTATGGCAGAATTTCTCTGGGTTGATAGAATTTCTGTAGAAAGGTTTGTCTGGGAATTTCTCTGGATTGGGGAATTTCTCTGGTTATCTGTCTATGAGCGTGTTCTGGTTAGCTCCTTAGTTCATCATTCTTAGGATTTGAGATGGGTTTACACTTGTTGGCCTACAAAAGTACTTCTATGATCAGATTAGGGTTTTTGAATCTGTAATAGGCTTCATTGCATTTTTTCCCATCTGTATTTATCTTCTTGATGTATACAAAGTTGCCCATGATGTTAAAGTAGAGAAATTTGCCTCAATGTCTGGCATCCCAATCACAGAAATTGGAATTTCTCTGGATTATAGAGAAAGAATTTCTCTGGTTTGGGTTGGAGAGGGAGAATTTTTCTAGGTTAAGTGAATTTCTATGGATTGGAGATGAGAATTTCTATGGTTTTCAATGAATTTCTCTGAGTTAGAGAGGGAAATTTCTCTGGGTTAAAGTGAATTTCTCTGGAAAGTCCAGAGAAATGTGAGATTTTCTCTGTGCAGTCCAAAATTTCTCTGAATAGAATTTCTCTAGACTGAAATTTCTCTGGATCAATGTTGAGGGACCTTAGACATTATGAAAATATTAGATGTCCTATATACTATAAAGTCTTAATATCAGGACCCTAAAAAAAAAAAAAAACCCAAAAAAAAACCAATAAATTAAAAAAATCAAAAAATTTTAAAAATTATTAAATTTTTTTTAAAAGTTTATACTATTTAAGGAAAATTAAAAAGTCTATATTATTGAGGGGTAGCTTGTGGTCATTTTAATTTTACTATAATATTTTATTACACATTTTTTCATAAAAAGTCAATAAATTATTCCAAACATACATTTTTTCTATATTTTTTTAACCAAAAAAAAAAAACACTTATATAACACACTCCAGACAACTACCAAATCCACCACAACCTCTACCACCACCAACTCTCTACATTCAAACCCATCGTCGTCATTAAAAGGTGATTTGAGATGATCTAAATAAGTGTACTTTTTGACTTTTTATGAAATATGGGTTGAATTTAAAGTGATGTGATAGATATGTGACGTGACTTAAATAAAATGATATAACTTAAACAAAATAATAACTTTTTAACTTTTTAACTTTTTGAATTATGACAAACCAGGCCTACCCTTACCCTGTCTTCACTGCCGCCGCCATCCATTTTCCATTGAGATCAACATAACACCAAAATATTAAAACATAAATCACTTGATGGGTAAGGAAAATGTATTCAAAATTACCAAAAATAAAACAAATATATATATATATTCAAAATTACCAAAAATAAAACAAATATATATATATTTAATACATATATTATAATATTATTAAAAAATTGGATAATGTTATGATACATGCCTTTTTATGATATTAATTATTATAAATATCATAATTAAATTATTTTTAGTTATAATCAAACATCACATAAAATATAAATAAATGCCTTCTAAATCACAATCAAAATAATATTATAACCAATAGTTATAACTAACACTATAATAAGTCATAACCAAAAATCATGACTAGGGCATATAAAATTTTTCTAAACAATAAATTGTCTGTCAATTACATATATACATACATCATGATAAGAAAAAAAATGTGTTTTGAAAAATTATTATAAAATAATGAAAAAGTTTATTACTTTAATTATTAATATTTATAAAGTTTATAACTTTTTTGTAAAACTTTTTCTCACATACCACTAGTGTATAATTTCTCTAAAAAGTTTTTTTATATATTACCTATGTATAAAATTGTGGTGGGTTTGATTTGTTTTTTTGAGAGAGATATTAGATAGAGGCATTTTAAAAAATTAATTTCTTCTATTAGTTTTTTTTGTTAGTTGACATATGGTTGATTGACGGAAGAACTAAATTGTAATGGAAGTTTAAACCTTATGGAGAGAGATATAATTTTCAAAAAGTGAGGGATGTACTTGTATTAAAAATAAATCTCAAGAAATGTCAGTATAATTTACACATAATATATTATCTATAGAAAGAGCATCGGGCCGGGTTTGGGTCCGATAGTTGGATTTGTATTTCAATAATAATGTTTAGAGATTTCAATAAAAATTATCATAAATTGTACACAATATTTAAATAAATATGAGTCTATGCATCTCACAATCTATGTGAGTATTGTATAAAAAATTTAATAATATTTATTTAGGAATGGTTGAGATTTAACTTTGCATTTGTCTAAGTTCAGTCTTATCCTAAAACTTTAAACCTAGTCTTGTAGAAAAATTTCACCATTGCCCATTTTGGCCATTTATAGGCTTTAAAATAAAATAGGAAGAAAACTTAATTTTAAGAAATGTGGGTAATATTTGATTTGGTTTTTATAATCTGTTTTATGAAATTATTTCAAAAAAAAAATTAAAAACCAATTAAATGAAAAAAAATAAAAAAAATAAAAACAAAAAGATATTTTAAAAAAATTTTAAATTATTTTGTCCCTACAAAAATAAAAATTTAAATAAAAATAATGAATATTGACGTTTATTTTTATTTTTATTAATAAATATAAAAAACTGATTTTCAATTTGAAACCAAAGAGAGCCTGATTTCAAAAGCTTTCCACTCAACAAAAATTAGTTGGAAAAAAAAGGTCATTCATGTATATCATTCAAAAGATATGTACTATATATACTATTCTATATATTTTGATGGTAATATTATATAATTTTTTAATAAAATTAAGATATTTTATGATTTAAAAATGAAGTTACGTATTTTTGTGGTGATATGACATTTTTTTGTAGTGATGTGTTGTATTTTTTTGAGGAAAGGTAATGGCACACATCTCTCAAAAAGTGTGTACTTTATATATTTTATAACTAAAAAATAAAACTATATAATTTCATAGTTTTTGAATCCTTACTTAAAAAAAAAAAATCATAATCAAACAACACATGAGGTATACACAAAGATCTCAGGAGTCATAACTAAAATAAGATTATAACTAAATAAGAAAATAACATAACTTAGGAGTGTATATGATAAATGGTGTGTATAGTAAAATTTCTCCTTTTTGTGATAATGTTTACACATTTTATAATTAAAAACTAGTTGAATAAAAAAAAATGTGTAATATCACCACCAATATGTACAACATTACCACAAAATATGCATTTTTGTGGTAATATCACATTCAAACCAAACATTTTCTATCTACAAAAATCATAAATTGTCACAACTCTACCACAAAATACATAACATTGGTCACTCAACGTTTACCAAAAAAAACGTAACAATAGTGCACATAGTCCACGTGATTTAATGGGTGTATTTGATAGTTGTTTACCACAGCATGACTATGTGCATTGATTTTGTGTGGGCATAGAGAGGACATCTAAAGTTCGATATCTTTTCAGTTCCGGGCAACGTTATCAATGGCAATGGCAGCTGAAATCAGAGCTTGTTGGGAGGTCCTCAGATGGTGCAAGCAACGGAGTCTTCAGGTGGTGACTACAGCTACGGATTGTCTCCTACTAACCTCCCTGGCTCCAGCTAACCAACTAGGACATGCACGTGTACATTACGAGACATCCGATCTATGTTATTATCATTTTGTTCTGTTAAGGTATGTAAGGTAAGCAGGTCAGTTGTTAATCCTGCTCACCAGCCAGCTACTGCTGCTCTTAGGAGCAACTAATGCTATTATCTTTATCTATGGAAGTTTGTTGCTTTAAAATATATATATATATATGCATGAACCAGCAAAAGAGCATTTGAAGATGGCAAAATTTTACAATACAAAAAATATAGTGTTATCAGCATATAATAAGTAGATGTACATTCATAAACAAAATTCCCCCCCCTCTCTTGCAATACTACTACCAAAAATGGAATATCACGGCTACTGCTCAGCCAGTTGGAAGAAAATGAATTATAACAGACACCTGACAGTTTGCATGAATGCATGCACGCATGCACTATACGTCTTTCAAATCATAAAATCACTATTTCAATATTATTGGACCTATACATGATTGGAACATGTTGCTTAGAACGCGCTGAACTTCTCCTGAGCTATGCTCACTCCGGACAAGATCCACCAACAAGGGGAATAATTGCGGAACATACCTCTTAAAAGAATCACTTTCAAAATCACTGAAAACCCGTAATGCTAACACAACAAGAGGAGTCCTGGCAGCCAACTCTTCCTTTTTCACCGAACTCAGGGGAAGAATCCAATGAAGCTCCTGCTGCTTCTCAACTGGTTTCTGCTTCTGGACAGGTCGCAACCCAGAACAGTCCAGGTATATCTGCAGAACTTCTTCACAAACTGACACAAGTAGTGCTTCTATGTCCATCCCCTCTGCCACATATGGATTATTCACAAGTAAATCATGGAGGAAATTGAGGTAATTCTGGTAAGATTCATTTTCAAAGTGAACCATGGGTGGATCAGAGATCTCCAGGATAGAGCATGCTCTCTGCAGCTTCAGCTGAAGGGTTGTCTCAGAATTCAATTGGTGGGCATGAGACGCAATAGTTGAGAATATATCAAGAAGGATCTTGATGTTGCCTAATGACAACGATTGGTTATGCATCTTGAACAAATCAGTGATTACCTGTGCCAGAGAAATGGAAAATAAGATTTTAGCAGAATCACTAAGGCAAGGAAACAATGGCAAACACTATTTTGCCTTTCTTGATTGAGCATTGCCAATGTCAACTCCAACCAATAACAAAAATGCCAACTCTGGAAAACAAGAATATTCTTTACTCAAAATTTTCCATCCCAAGCAAAAGTCTTTCAATTTACACATCCTGTAAAAGATCTGAATCTATAGTTGATTTACAGCAATTTGCCGAATATTACAACAAACCATAATCCATATCAAAAAGATCTATGACCATTTGTACAAAATCTTTGCCCATTTTTTGTCTCAAATTTTATCTGGGACATAAATCTTCTAAACAGTTAAAAACTAGGAAGTTAAAAAAGAACCAAGAATTATAAAAAATTTAAAAAAATTTAAGAAAAAAAAAAAAAGAGCGAGAGAGAAGGACAAAAGAGAGGAAAGCTGTGATTCCTAGTTCCAGTATTTCAATATCAATTAGCAATACAATCATTTATTCACGCTTGAATGACATAGGAATAAGGAGGTTGTGAGAATAGTTTATGATACTCGCTGAATTTCCCCCTTTTCCCCTAGAATAATGTCCCCACTCTCTCGGTCAGTGGGATACATGGATCTACATAGTGGAAATGGAGGCCTCCTGAAGCCTACTCCATGAAAGATATATGAAGATAACAAAGTTATACCCTTTCTTTTTATTTCATAATATGTGGTGTCATTTTGTTACAATGCATGTAATGCATAATATTTATTTATACTATTATATATGTTAAAGCCTTGAGATGGTGTTGACACAAATTGTCTCATATTTTAGGTTTTTCCAAAATACCCCTATAGTTGGTGTTTATGTAAAAGTTATATTAAGAGGGGGATGGGACTTGAAACTGAGATCATGGGTTTGATTGAGAAGGCACTTACCACTTGAACAACACAAGTTATGTGTGCATTTCTCTTTGTCGTTATTTTTGTACTATTACTTTTTTCTGAATTGCACACGCATTGCGTGTGCGGACTGCTAGTATATACATATATGTGCAGGTATCAATAGACACACAAACACGCATGGAGAGAGAGAAACCTGTATAATGAGAAGCTGTGCAGATATATGACTCTTCATTCTTGAAACAACATATGCCGCTGTTTGTAGGTCGTCATCTTCAGAATCATCATTGGTCATTCCATGATTAGAATACAGTTCTGGATCATTATAAGAATGAGCAATGTCTGGGACCTCGATGCTATCCATAGTTCTCACAAGCTTCAAAAATCCTGGAAGCGAGGAAGAAACTGCCTTTTTCAAAGCAAGAAAGATGTCTGCCCATTCATGTTCTGAAAGTCTGCCTCCCAAGTCACCTGCCAGACGCATTAATGCAGCTACCCCTGTGCTCGCAGGACCTTGACCAGGTCTTCTTATGAAACCGGCCAGTATTGATACCACTCCAGGTAGTTGAGACTGCAGCACATTGAAGAACCTGACAAATAGGTCTACTAGACATTGAACTGCCACTGTAGAAGTTTCAGAATCCCACATACTTCCCTCAGGATGAGGAGATCTGGAAGATGGTGAAGACTGGTCATCATTGAATTGTGTTTCTTTCTTTTCATTCACAAAATTGAACATGGGGAAAACTACAGAGTTGAAAACACTGTTCCAAAATGGACGTGAAAAAAGAAGACCATGATCCTTCAAAATATTGAAGAGCACTTCCAAAGCACCCTTTCTGACAGCTGATCTTGGATCTGATGTTAGTCTTGATAAACCTGGGACAGCATTCACAGACCAACGTAAAGGTGCTTGAAACAAAGCTTACATCCAACTTATCAGCACATAAAATATAATACCGCAGAGAAGATGCAATGCAAATTAAATATGCCACAAAGGTTCCTCTCAAAGAATTCTAAACAGCACAAAATCCATGTAATGAGCTTAATCAAGATTTGTAGCTCAGTGGCTCCGTTTAAAGTGGGCTTGAAAATGGACTAAAGTGAGGAGTTCATTGGCCATACATAGTTAAAGGGGATAGGGATCAACCTTACTTCCTCCCCTTTTTTTCCAATCGGCAGGAGGTAAAGTTAAGGTTGCTGTTAAAGTATTTCATTGTAATTAGACCAAACAAGAACAAAATCACGCTTTTATGGCCATAGTAAGACAATTGAAGAAAAGGGAAAAGATTACAAATAAAATAGGTTGCCTTTTTTGAATACATTAACTACTACTAATCCTCTAATCTTTCTACAAGAGAACTGTCTTTCCTGGAACCTGAAGGTGAAAGCAAGTTACCTGTGAGCAAAGGAACCCAAAAGGATACATGATCATCTTTATCTGAGAATGTCTGTCCATCTGAAGCGTCCTCATTTCCTACTGGAATGGATGAACCATCAAACTTGCTCTTCTCATTACAAACAAGTCCCCCATCTGCAAGTTTGACAGCACAGTATCGCAGAAAAGCAATGGCATTGAGGCTAACATCACTGTTAAATCGACTATTTGTGAAGGCAATGAGACATCTAACGCAATCAGTGAAGGTCAAAGTTTCAGTCTCCGTTATATAAGGGAAATATTCTCGTACTATCTTTTCCATAGTTTCAAAGGCCAACAAGACTATATTCTTCCTTTCATCAGCTGCTGCAGCTGTGAAAACCTGGCAAAAGAAAAGTGACATGTGAAAGATAAGATAATTGCAGGGGCCAGTTCAGAAACTTCTCAAGCGTCCATGTGATAAAATCAGATTTGAATAAAATGAACTAGTAACATATAGACCATAGTTGTCAAATTGAGAATCATATTTTCAATGAAAATCCTAATTTTGTGAAACGTGAATCGAATCGATCGAGAATCATAGGAACCAAACCAAACCAAACCAAACTAAGCCTTAAGTCCCATCAAATGGGATCAACTACATGAATCTCTTCTTCTTCACTCGACTCTATCCAAGGCCATTTTGTTAGTCAAATTAAAGAGATTTATATATCTATTTACTAGTCCACGTCAATCTAAGTCTACCCCTAACCCTTCCCCTAGCAATACCATCTACCGTCACTGAATTGCGTTTCTTCACTATTGCCTTGGTTGGTCTTCGTTGCATATGACCACACCATCTCAATCTATTCTCTCTCAACATATCGTCTATCGGTAGTATTTCTACCCATTCTCGAATATACTCAATCCCAACTCTGTATTTTCTAGTCTCACTACACATCCACCTCAGCATCCTCATCTCAGCAATACTCATCTTATCTGCATGTTGTTTCTTAGTTGCCCAACATTTCGTCTCATACAACATCACTGGTCTAACAGCCATTCTATAGAACTTTCCTTTTAGTCTAATGGGTACTCATTTATCGCACAATACTCCAGATGCACTCCTCCACTTAAGTCACCCCGTCTTAATTGTGTGGACCACATCTGCTCTAATCTCCCCAGTCGTTGAGATAATCAATCCTAAATAATGAAAATGTTCACTCTTAGGTAGTTCTTGGTTCTTAATATTCACTTCTCCTCTGTTTCCGTTGTAATTATTACTAAAATTACACTCCATACACTCTGTCTTAATCCTGCTTATCCTAAAATCTCTAGATTCAAGTGAATGTTTAACAATAGTATATATGAAAAAATATTATATATATATATATATATTGATTTTGGCACGTGGACATAAATACAACATACAAATGGGAAGACATTACTTTCATAGCAAGAGATATGGATCTAAATCCCACCAACCAAACATAGAGTAGAATAAAACAAAAGAGTAAGTGGGAAGCTTTATTTTAAAACCTAAAACACTTTAAAAGGCGTTTATGCTTGTTCCAAAAATCTATATATATGTGTGTGTAGAACTGTTGTCTAACCTGACCCATGTCATATCAAACCATATCCATTTCAACAAAATAACAGATAATTCATGGGTGCAAGTTAATTTAGCCTTAAACATATTAGTAGATGTATTTTGACATTCTTCTGAGAAAAAATTGGGAGAAAAAAGGTTAGAACCTTGTTGAGTCTAAATGGATCTGATTGGATCCTATTAAACCATTTGATCACCAAACTAACAACACATTATGCAAAGATATCGTTTATATTTCATACTAAACACTATTAGAAGTAACATTCTGACATTCACCCCAATAAATAGATAAAAAGAGGTTGAAATTTTTCAGACCTGATATTTCAAGAATTGCATGAGTCGTAAAATGTGAATCATGCAATTCACCATCAACTCTATTCCAAAAATAGATTCACCCATAAATTAGCATGGATATATGCATGAATTGTGAACCATAGATAACAGAGCTATAGACCAATGCCTCAACCTCTTGTACAGGGAACAAGGCCATATGACAGCTAGCAGCATCAGCACAAAACAGCAAAAATAGTTCTGAAAGAAGTTGCACCTGTGTTGTGTTGGACACCAACATTGCCAGGACACTTCAACACTAGTCTGGTTCATTTATGAACGTCTCCATAATGTAGAGTAGAAATTAATTTATTTTTTAATTTGAAAATGTAACTTAAGCTTCTTAAACTCGCGCAAAAATGACAGTATTTACATCAGAATTGCTAAATACTAGGTACTCACATTACAGGGTGCAAAACAAAAGTGCAGCGCAGTGGAGAACACCAAAAGCATTCAGAATACTTTAGACATTTTCAAACGGGAAAACAGTGAGGCACAATGAAGATTTCAATAGGTGAGGAGAAAGGAGGCAGAGGAGATGAGTAGCAAGATAGGTCTGTACCGCATACATGCATGCAACAACTGAGGATGCACGTGCAGACGCAGAAACATGTAAATATACCATGTTGCCATGTCCATATTGCATCGATGTATGTACAAAATATTTCAATATCATGTCAAATGGTATGGAATTGGTACTAGAATCATAAAAAAGCTGGGTAGTAGATGAGTCCAATTATTTTTCCAAGAACATTTTACATGCAAGAAAATGACTTTAAAAATTAGTGGGTGCAATATTGTGAGAATCTAACAGCAGAATCAGCAACACATACATATAATGTTGAAAGGCCATCCTAATAGTCTCAAACAAAAACAATTGAATTAAAAAAACAGAAGTAGAGTCTCGTAACTATTTCAAAGCTCTTGGGCCTTGGTTAAACTTCCACAACACCAAGCTTCATAAATTATGAATTATGATAGCATAGCAGGGTTTCACTTCAAAGACTGTAAGGATTTTTTTGGTCCAACTCTATTTATCCAAAACTGCCAAATTTCAGCAATCAGTCAATTTCTAATATTCAATTGCATGGCCCAACAACTTGAAATTTCATAGAAAAAAATCACCTGAAAGACCACACAGAGTACTGCACAAGTAACAGAAAGACAAACTGGTTATATTTTGACCCAAATATCAAGAGATGGTGATATTTCAATTTCATTCAGCAGCTTTTTAGCAATCAGTCAATTACTACTCATTTGAATGGTCCAACAACTCCACGTTAGCCAAAAAAATTCACCCAAATTAGACCACACAGAAATTACTCCACACACAATAGTAAGATGTGTACAGACTATTTTTGCCCAAATTTTAGGGAAAATGGCCAAATTATTTCTGTTCAAATGTATATCCACTTCAGTCAGGCACCAAGTAAGAATATAGACCTAGCTATCTGTGCAATGTTAGTTCAACTTTTGAAACAAGCATAACAGCATAATACATTATGGAAGAGGTTTGCATACCATAAAAACACTCTTCCAGCCAGATTTTACATTACTGACACGGCTGAGGACCATCTGTGAAAGACACCGAACTATTAGTTCCCTGATTTCGGCAGAGTTGCTTTTCTGCATGACAATGACAAATGGTCTCAAAAATTCATTTTGGAAATTGTAATTAGCCAACTCCTCTCGCTCTAAGAATTTCACAGCAAGTTGCCGCAATGAATCCATGACAAAAATTGCAACAGAGAGATTTTCTGACAAGCCAACTGACACAAAGAAATCTGAAAGAACACTCCATATACGAGACCACACCAATCTGATTCGGTTCATGTTGTAATGCCTGCAAAAGAGAAAACATGGTGTGATCGTATGTTTCATCCCATATCTCCTGGACTTTTCTATGTATAAAATGCAACAGAGTGAATCTTAAAGAAGTTTACAACATCATGATTGTTTTGCAGAAATTGGAGATATTGGAGACAACTCAAGAGATAGAGACTAGAATCTTACGCAACTTCGACTATTTTCGTGAGGCTGAACACACGAGGATCAGTTGGAGACTGCAATTCCGACATGGAAACTTTGCAAAGGGCCTTCACAAAAGCTACTATTGCCTCACTGTTCAACCTTTGGCTATGAGCAAATATGTGGTTCAGCTCAAAATTCCCAATTTGTTCAAGCAGATTCAAGTTTGAAATGAAGTTATTAATCTGTTCTGGGGTTACCAGCCCTGAGGAATTGACTCCAATAGAGGTGCTGTCATAAGAACCCCCTCGCACAACAGCTGCCACAGCTGGATTCTGGAGACTTCCTTTTTTCTTTAAAGATGGAAAACCAGTGGCCTTCAGCGATTTTTCATCAGCCTCAGCATTAGATACCGTAAAAAAGGATGCATCAGATGGTGCACCCTCCCCTAGTAGTTGTAGATGCTCAAATCGAGAAAGACATGTTAAAATATGCTCCCAGGCTTCCTGAAGATGATTCCCATCTTCAATGGCAATTGCTATTATTGCCTACCAAATGTGAAACATATTGACAGTAAGTGTTGCAACAAGATGTAGCATAAAGAACGTGCTTAGGAAACTATGAATTGATGATAAGAAACTACTGTGCAATACACCCCATGGGCCCCAGGAAAGGTCTCCACTGGATAATCTAACCAGGATGCTATCACTTGTCTATATGAACAGTAATAGATGGCCAATAATCATAAAAACTAGCATTAAGATATGATGCAGAATGATCTAATAAGCTCCAACTGCAGTAAATGGGGAGGACAACTACACATGAAAACTCTGCCATGAGCATTTCTAAATGTTCCAGCAAAGGACGACCCTCTTTCCTGGACATAGAAAAACATATTTCTTTCTTGATGTTGATATTTTACAATGCCTAATCATCCATCATCCATAAAGAAAAAAAGAACAAATTATAAACAAAAAATGATAACCACCTTGACAGCATCCACATTTTTTTGCTTCATGTCTGCAGCACAGTGGAGGTAGGTAAACTTGGCAACAGTTGTCACAAAAGCATCTCTCTGGGTCTGCATACCCATCACTGCAGTAACATGCACAGCATGTCGGAAGCCCTGTAAGCATTGAGAAGTAGCAGCCTTGTCATCACTCCGGTCCAGTGTCATGCTGAATGCAGCAAGCATTGGACCCCAGCAAACCTCCATCATAAACCTCAATATTGCCGCATCTGCAACAGCATAATAAACAGACCTGCAAGACCACATGAGATTGGCTCTAATATCCTTTTCTATTGAAGGAGGTTCCACAAGAACTGTGGGGAGAACAAAAGAAAATACTGGAAGATAAAAGCAACTTATCGTGACATTTAGCACAGCAAGAAATTTAAGGAAAGAAAGTCATGATTAACAAACTGATGAGAAAAGACCTCCTAACTAGAACCATTATATGCCACAACGGCCCCGTTTGGTGTAGCTGTTAAAACAGCTTATAGATTATAACTTAACAGATTATAGATTATGACTTTAATCAGAAGTTGTTAATCTGTTTGGTGTAGCTGTTGGATTATAGATTTAAGTTGTTGCGTAGTGTTTGTTACATAAGCTGTGAAATAGCTTTTTCAATTTCTACTTTTAAAAAAATAAAAAATAAAAAAATTTAAGAGTATAACCATAAATTAACATGTCCACGGCAGAAGCTGATAATCAGAAGCAAGGGGTGGACAGCTTCTCAGAATCAGCTTTTTTGAGTTAAAATAAGCTGTTAGAATCACAAGCTGTTTGAAATAAGTTTAACCAAGCAATCTAAAATAACTTTTTCAAAGCTAAAAGCCATAAGTTGGCTCTAAAAAACTGAAACAAACACCCCCAATATATAAAAGGAGTGCAATAAAAATAATATAATTACTTTAAGCATTCATTTTACTTATAGGAACAAGCATTGTGACAGATAGAGCATCTTTACAAATAATCAAGAAGTAAAATTCAGAAGTTCTATATCTTACTCTGATTTTCCTGATTGTGCCTTAAATTGCTCTTGAATGTGCCTAATAAGAACCCCATTTGCACCCAATGGTTTTTCTTCTGTCTGTTTCCAAACTAGATTGAGTATACCATCCAAGCCCAATAGTTTATTGAGACTGTTTGCCTGCTTGCTCTGAGGTGCAGAAGAATCAGCATTCATCTTAATCTCATTTTTTACAATTTGATCATAGATAGCACCCAAATATTCCTCAGGTAAATCCTTGCCATCATCAATCCCTCGGTTATTCCGGATGAAATCAGCCTTGGTCATCTTAACAGCCAAATGCAACAGAGTGGAAGTCAGAACAGAATGAAAAATGAATTATACATTTGACAATACGCTCTAAACAAATTATCAACTTCCCAGTTCGCAATATCAATCCAAAGATAATGCATATGAATAACAAAAAAAAAAAAAAGGGTAGAAGACAAATGCACACAATTTCAGCAAGCTCACCTTATCCTTTACCGTGTTATTATGGGCATCCGTGTTGAGCATTATCACAGAGTAAGCAAGAACATAGGCAGTGTCTGCACTTGTAAATGAATTTGGATTGCATTTACAATAGCGTTCAGCAAATTTTTCCATGATGCGGTCAATTTTCTGCGCCTCTCCTGGTAGCCTAAAGCCCCTTAGGAAGAACCTAATTGATTCACCAAAATCTATTCCTTCAAAGTTAAAGGAATCTACATAAGCATGCATCACTTTTAAAGAAAATTCCTCCCTTTCGCCCAAATAGTCACCGATCATGGTTTCATTAAGGCCAGCAGCATTCTTCAGAAAAGAAGCCACTGCTTCAGGAGAACTGCCAATCTTTTTGGTGCTTACTAAAAAGTCAATTCCCTTGGAAGGTTTTCTGTTGAACAGTGAGACACCTTTCTGCATATAAACAATCAACAAAGTTGTCACCACAGTTTACCCAAATTTCTTGATTTAAGAAAAAACTGTATAAACTGAAGAAAAGGAGATAATTTGATAACACATTAAGAACTCAAGTGATAACAATTTCTGGAGTGCTCATTGGCCAACCATCTTCCAGTGGGTGGGTACAGCACAAGTACAAAATAAATGACTAGGCATTAAAATCTGACACAGTACTAATCATCAAATAAACCATTGCTTAACCTGGAGCTCTAATTTGTAAGCCCGACGTTGCTCAAGGGTAGCAGCGTCTGAGAATTCAGAATTTACTTCTGGATGCATCTCATAGTCGGGGATGATTCCTTCTTCTCCACTAAAGGTCGTATGATTTTCTGTTGGAGTGTCACTATCAGAGGTTTTTGGCGGGTAAAAATCTCCTATTCTCAATTGTTGGTCCATCCATGTTCCCATTGACTTGATGATTCTAACCAAGCACTTTACTGATTCAAGCCGAAATGTAATATCATGGGCTGGAGACAAAGTGGTAGTTGAACCAGGAGGCGGACCTAGAGCAGTTTTCAGAAGGCCATTGACAGTCCTGCAAATATCTGATGGAATTAAAAGGGCTTTAATACAATTGACTAAACCACAATGCCAAAACAAAATGAAAATTAATACAACAAAATTATACTGGGTGATTATTATTTATGTGAGAGAGGCCAAAGTGATAGATGAAATCTACAAAATGAACACGAAAAGAAAATGAACCGTTCAGCACCACTCTTGATCTTCTCTCTCATGGTGGGGGAGGTTGGGAATTAGAAACACCACATCATTGAAGAGATAAGGAGAGAAAAGAAAATGAACTTTAGAGCAATCAGAAAGAACAATGACTGGGGGCTGGGTTCATCTTGCCAAGCAATTCAAAAAAAAAATCCAGTCTTCTTTTTGTTTGTTGTGGCAAGAGTGGAGCTAAAATAACTTCTACCTTTGAGGAATTCTCAATCCAAAATCTTGTTCACTTCTATTTTATTTTGACTCGGGTTATATAATATAACCATACTGTTTCCCGCCAAATATAGTGGACTCCCCACCCAAGTTGCATGGAACCTCAATAGTACCGGAACCTATGTTCATAATAAAATACATTTGGACAGTATAAACAGCAACAGCCAGGTCCATATAAATGTTACAATCACCAAACTTTCAAACAAGTTAGAAGCAAATCTGCAAACATGTGATTTTCTTAGTGAGAATTCAAGCTAGCTTCTTCTGAAACTTGCAGAAAGTTTCCGCTAAAAGACTAGTTTTTCTTTCTTGTTTATTTATTCATATACCAACTCCAGTTTTAGTATTTTCCATGGTGCAACAATTTGAAATAGAGAATGTACATCACAGATAGGACAAACTTTTGGAATAGTGATATCCATTGCTATTTGATACAATACATCACAGCAGGTGAAGGTGGGGAAAGAATGGGAATTGAACTAACGGTAAATAAAAGCCTAGACTGTTTGATGCAGCTTATAAAGCCTGCTTATAGTTTTTGATTTATTTATTTTGGGAGTCTGTGCCAAAGTGTTTGGTGCAACTTCTGCTTAAAGCTTACAAGGCAAAAATAGTTTTTAAAAGCAGGAAAAAGTTGATTATCTAGAAGCTAAGGATGGGATTTTAACCTTTGCCTTCTAATTATCAACTTTCAGCTTGAGAAAAGCAGCACCAAACAGGCCCACAGTAGTTCCAATGCTACACTTTAAACCACTTGGCCATTTCTTCTAGAAAATGAATAATCCCAAAAATGGAGTGACTAGTGAGTGATTTATATTTAATTATTGGATAGGGTTGGGAAGTTCATGATTGGCTAGTTTCAGTCAATTCACCCTTCTGAATTCTGAGTATTGAGTGGAGCTGGAGAGCGTGGAGGACATCCCTTTGTTATATGTTTCTTTTTCTTTCTCTCATTCAGAGGTTCCAACTTATGGAAATGTTTCTTAACCAGTCTTACATCTAACAAAGTGGATGTTTAAAAAATTGATGTTGTGTATGGTTTGTGTTTGTAGAATAGTTTTTGAGATAAAAAGTACGTAAACTTGTTTGGTTTGCTTTTTTTCAGAAATGGTTTTGGAAAATTGTTTTGGGGAGAGAGTTTTAAAAAAGGTGATTGATTTGATGTGTATGAGAGAGTGATTTTGGAAAGTAGGTAATCAAACAAAATTTTGAGATTTTTTTTTAAAAAATTTGTTTGGTTTGATTACTCTTGAAAATTTGTTTGTAGAGAATTCTTCTCAAAAATTTTTCTAAGAAACAAACCAAACAAGGCCTGAGTATTACCAAAATATGACTGTTGAGATAGTTGATAATGTTACAAGAAACAATAGATCAAGAAATAAATGCAATCGTGAGAAGTTAGAAGTCATACCAATCAAAGATAAAATGAAAAAAACTAGATTGGCGTGGTATGGCCATGAGCAACTAGACCACATAACACATTGGTAAGGAGGACAAACATTATCAAGGTCAAATGAAAAGTAAAGGAACACCAAGAAACACGGGTCGAGGTAGCGGGAGAGGACATTACTTTCCTAGACTAACTAAAAATATGGCATTGGATAGAGCCAACTGAAGAACACTGATCTATGTAAACGGTTGGGGTCAAGAAGCCTTGTCGAGTTGAGTTGGTCTGACAAGAGCAAGCCATTTTATCAGAAACGAAAGACAGACATAAATAGAAAAACAAAATAAAAAATAAAACATAGGGAACCCCTCAAAGAATGACCCATAAAACCTCTCAAGGAGGATAAAAGAGTACCTGCTAAAAGGTTCTAAAGTAACTCCTTATCTATTGGCCAGGAATTCAGCTTCTCCATTACTCGATCTATGGAATCTATCCAATGCAAGTGCCAAAAGAGGACAAGTCTATGATCTCCTTCAACCAAGAGTAAAAGTAATCCTAGCTCAATATCAATTTCTCGATACTATCACATTTATTTTACAAGGCGTTTCAATTGCCTAATCCAACCCAATAGATCGGTTGAAATCAGATCAAAGCTGAAGAGAAAATCTCTTAGATCCTTCTTCAAAAGTACTTGAAATTTTTTATTTTTTGCAAAGAACTTCTCGCTTTTCCATCTCAGATTTTAAGAAAAAAATTTGCCAAAGTTGTTATATACCTTCAATGTACTGGGTCCACCTTTTTTGGTGTTGATCTGTCAGATTTTGGGTCTCTGCCTTTTTTTTTGGGTGAAAAAAAAAAAAAGAAAAAAAAGCAGAGACCCAAAATTTGACAGATCAACACCGAAAGATAAGTAAATGAATAAAATAAGAAATGCATTGTCCACAAAAATAAGTAAATGAATAAAATAATAATAGCTACCAACCACCATGGCAAGATACAGAGATGAGGCTATTGAGATGCTTCTAACATTTCGAGACTCATAACCCTGGCAATCTAGTGTTGAAAAACATCTTCTAAAGGGGGTCCAACAGCTAGGGGTGGACATCAACCCGCTAACCCACCCAGCCTAACTTTTTTAGGGCTTGGGAATATTATTTTAGACCACAGGGCTGGGCCAGGCTAGTATTTTAAGCCCGTTAAATTAATGGGTTGGGCTTGGGATTAAGGTTTGTAGCCCAGCCCAACCCGACCCAACCTGCAAATATATTTATTTTATTTTATTTATTTATATAGTATATTAAAATATATATATATTTTTAGTTTAAAGTTTCTTTCAATTTTAATTGAGACCTTTCAAGTTTCACCCTCTACTACACAACCACGGAGCTGCCCCCACCACACACGGAATTCAGCCTCCCTTTTTGGCTTTTAAGCCCTTGTCCATCTATTAAAATAAATAAATAAAAAGAGCAGTCATTTTTTTACTTACTCATATATATACACCTGATGGACAAGTTTGGAAAGTATAATTTTCTTCAGGGCTGGGCTTGGGTTGACCATATAGGCGCAATGTGCGGGCCAGGCTGGGTTTGGGTAAACACAAAGTCCCTTACTAGGTAGTGCAAGCCTTGCCCAGCCCGGTCTTTGTCCACCCCTACCAACAGCTAACTACCAAAGTCCAAGGACACCAACAAATGAAACAAAAAGTGCTTGCCAAAAAGCACCTGCCAGTTACCACACAAAAAATGGTTCCACAGGCACCTACAGATGAAGGGAATGAATAAAACCGTACTTCACGAAAGAACAAGCAACAAGAAGTTCTACCACACAACAGTAGAAGAAGATGGCAACTTTTGGTAATGATGACCTACCAGGGATGAATCCACAAAGAAAAAGCATGAGAGAGATTGCTAGTTTGCCAAAAAAAATTTACTCATATGAGAGGGAAATTCAGTTCAGCAAGATGAAAGTGAGGTCATATGCAGAAGAGATGCTCGTGTCTGACAACATCCAAGGTTTTCTGATGCTTGTTATTATCGGGACAATGCTTTCAATGAGGTTCTATTGACAAAAGGAACACGAGTGCAGGTCAAACAAGTTGAAAATTCAAATCTCCAGCATATATATTTATTTTCTCTTGTCAGAAAATCAGAAAAACTTTTGACTCAAAAAGTATATGCTAAGAAGATGGCGGGAAAATGCAAGAACCTAATAATAAAAGAAACCATTAAATTCATTCCAAATGAACCTTGCAAATATATCTTCACATATGGAAGGCCAAAAGGCATGCCACAACAGCATAGCAATTTGGCACTCCACCGATAGAAGATAAGTTGAGAGAGAATCGATTGAGATGGTTTGGTCATATTCAACGGAGACCAACAGAGGCAGTAGTGAAGAGATGCGATGCCGTAACGGTAGATGGAAGTGTTAAGGGATGGGGTAGGTCTAGATTAACGCTGGCTAGCGTTGTAAATAGAGATATAGATCTACTTAATTTGACTAATGAAATGGCATTTGATAGGGCCGAGTGGAGAAGAAGGATTCATGTAGTCGACCCCATTTAATGGGACTTAATGGTTGGTTTGGTTTGGTATATTGGTAGATACTAAATTCGTTGTGTTTGCAATTCTTAGAATTCCACATGCAATAATATATCATAAAAGAATAAAGATATCAAGAGAGTATATGAACCCTTCATTGCATAATGCCTCAAAAACGTAATCACAGATCGGTAGACACTCTTAAAGAAGGGAAGTTACAAGGCAGTATGGTAGTAACATTGCTCACATGAGCCATATCAAATCAAATATTTTGATCTTACTTTTTGCATTTAAATATGTTAAGTTGACATCTTTTGTATACAGTGAGCAAGATTATTTTAATTGATTTTGTAGGTAAAGTACATACGGGTATGGATTTATATATTAGATACTACATTGGCAGGCACTCTTAAAGAAGGGAAGTTACAAGGCAGTACGGCAGTAACACAAAAGTTTTGTTAGGTGAATTATGAATATCTTATTAGATGACAAGACTTAATGCATACAAGTAGCTGCTCTTCTTGATTCACCCAACATTTAGAAAAATAGGGTACACCAGAGTGGTAGTGAGTTCAACGACTCCCAAAAGAGAGAGTCAATAAATTGCCTCCTTAACAGCCATTAGATGCAAAACCGAAGGAGACACAGTATCCTTCCATAGTGGTGTTGTAATAGAAAGACATCACCCCATATTGGACTTACTATATCCCCATCACTAACTCACGCAAAAGAAGGATAATTATAATCTAAGCATAAATCTAATAAAATAACTATTCAGTGTCACAGGACTGGGCTACCAGCTCCACCAAATACAAGTAATTAGACAGTTAGGAAATTACGATAGCCAAACACTGCACTTGATTGTGGTTTAGCTAGTAGATGGTGTTCAACATGCATCAATGTGATATAAAGGAACATAAAGAAAAAAGGAAGGTGGGAGAGAGAGGGAGATCATAATCCACAACCTTGTGATAGATGTCTACCTAAATTACATTTGATACGAGAATAGCAATATGATAGACTGCCTCATTACCTTTCAAAGATGTTTGGAGCATCCACATCACAGTCATAATTGACAAAAATGTCAACGACAATCTGTGAATCCTGAGAGATCTTCTCCAGCAAATTGAGAACAGTCATCTTCTGTAAGAAACTAGGCTGAAGCACATTCTCGAGCACACGCAAAATGAGCATGGGGAAGAAAATTCCAATTTCTGCTTTCAACGCTGATCTGAATTTTGACAATAAGCTCTTGAAAATAGAACAAAGAAGTTGGAAAATAGTCATAACTGACAGTGCACTGTTTTTTAACAATGATAAGCAGAGATACTGCCTGATAACATTGAGAAACCTGAACCAAGAATAAAAGAAACATTAGACTACGTAATTGCAATGAGAGAAATGTGACTATTCACGCGATCGCTTAAAAACAGGGAATAAAAACACCATGGTACATTGACAATAAGAGAAAATTAACAGGTCCCCAAACAAGTAAATAAAACAAGCTAGAAACACCCCATACACATTGCAAAGCAAGCATTTAATATAAAAGAATCAAAGATCAAAGAACATGATTTATGGTCAAAAGTACCCCAAATATTTTCTTCTTTTTTCTCTTCCTCTTGTTCAAATAAATGAAGATACCACCTTCAACCTTACAAAGGGATAAAGCACTAGACATTAAAGAGGAGTCATATATATGTTAACTAGATAACAAATTAATAGTTGGAACTATTGCGTTTAGCAGGCAGATCAACATTTGAGGATGCTCATATGGATTTCTTTTCAAGCTATAATGCTTTTCCTGGTAGCTGATACTTCTATTATGGGTAATTTAAGGAGACTCAAAACTTCAGCCTCTTTATTAGAGAAATGCAACCTACGCTGAGGTTCCTCATAGGTGACTCATTTTTCTAGAATTAAAAACTAAAAAATATTAATTACCCAAGAGACCACATATTACACATTCCATTTCTAGATAGACCTCACAATCACAGGCATAGCTATACTAAACCAAACCAAACCAAGCCAAGCCTTAAGTCCCATCAAATGGGGTCGGTTACATGAATCCTTCTTCTTCACGCGGCTCTATCAAAGGCCATTTCATTAGTCAACTTAAGTAAATTCATATCTCTATTTATAACGCTAGTCAACGTTAATCTAGGCCTACCCCGTCCCCTAACACTTCCATCTACCGTTACAGCATCGCATCTCTTCACTACTGCCTCTGTTGGTCTCAACAACTCAAGGATAACAGGTTAACAGAAAAATTGAGAACATGGAGAACAGAAGAGAGAGGTATGGTAGGAGTGACATGGACTAAACCTTCCCAAAAATAGAAGAAATAGTATCATCTGCAATCCTAACTTTGTCCTGGCTTGAAGAGGGCTTATAGGCAGAGAAAATGTCAAGAGGATCTAGACGTATGATCTAAGGCACCAGAATCAATTATCCAAGGCAAAGACTTATGAGAAAGGAAAACACGAGGAGAAGAGACTAAGTTATCTGAGCGGGCAAACGACGAGGAAGATGTATTGAGAGCAGTAGAAGACTGGCGGTCCAGCAAGTGACACAGAACATCCTCAAGCTCAGGAGTAGTCATGCCACAGAGACCATCAGAAGCCTGGCCAACGGAAGCGGAAGTAGTATCAAGTGTATCAACGACACTAAACTGATGAGCTCGTGGATGGGAGCCACGTTCTCAAGACTAGCCTGACCGACCTCCTCTAGTACCAGACCGATCCCCTCGACCCCCAGATGGAATCCCATGAAGCTTCCAACACGTCTCACAAGTATGCTGCGGCTTTTTACAGTAATCATACACCATGGCACGTCATCCTGAATATTTATCGTCAACTCGTCCATAACTAAAGCAAAAAGATAAGGACTTAAGGTAGATCCTTGGTGTAACCCTACAGTGATAGGAAATTCATTTGTTTCTCCAGCTGGCGATCTAATAGTGGTCACCACCCCTTCATACATGTCCCTAATCACGTCAATGTAGCCTTTTGTCACCCCTTTCTTCTCTAACGCCCACCAAATTATATCTCGGGGTACTCTGTCATATGCTTTCTCAAGGTCGATAAACACTATATGAATGTCTCTTTTCTTTTCTTTTTACTTTTCTATTACTCTCCTCAAAAGATAGATCGCTTCCATTGTTGACCTACCAGGCATAAACCCAAATTGATTCTCTGACACCTCTGTTATGTCTCGCAATCGATGTTCCATCACCCTCTCCCACACTTTCATTATATGACACATTAGCTTAATTCCTCTATAGTTGTTACAATTCTGGACATCACCTTTATTCTTATAGATTGGTACTAAAATACTCTTCCTCCACTCATCTGGCATGTTTCTAGTCAACAAAATTTTGCTAAACAACCTAGTCAACCAAGCAACTCCCTTTTTACCCAAACACTTCCAAGTTTCAATAGGGATATCATCAGATCCTAAAGCCTTGTTTGATTTCATCTTCTTAAGTGCAATCTCCACTTCAAAATTCCTAATCCTGCGATAGAACCTATAGTCTTGGTTTATCGTATTACTGATTATTTCTTCCCCTATTGTCGTACTTCTATGTTCCTCATTTAACAGTTTTTCAAAATAATTCTTCCATCTTTCCTTAATCTCATCATCCTTCACCAATACCTTAGAATCCTCACTCTTGATGCACTTTACTTGATTAAAATCTCTTGTTTTCCTCTCCCGTATCTTAGCAAGTTTGTATACCCTCTTCTCTCCCTCCTTACTATCTAGTCTAGTGTATAGGTCATCATAAACTTTCAACTTAGTCTCTCTCACTACTTTCTTGACCTCCTTATTAGCCAATCTATAGCTCTTAAGGTTTTCCTCAGTTCTATCCTTCTACCACTTTTTAAAGCACTCTTTTTTTGCTTTAACTACCGCTTGGACCTCTTCTCTCCACCACCAAGTTTCCCTAGAGCCGGGTCCCGTTCCTTTCGACTTTCCAAGCACTTCCCTTGAGATTCTCCTCATACAATTGGCCATCGAATTCCACATAGTGTTAGCATCACCATCCAAGTCCCAAATACCTTCCTTATCCATTCGATTCTTAAATATTTTTAATTTATCCCCTTTTAAGTCCCAGCATCTCGTCCTACAGGCATAGCTACACTGCATGAATCATATTCACATTCAACTAAAGTTGAAAATATACGAATTCCTAGTCTTTTTTTATGTAAATTCAACCACCTACTTTTTACTCAAACTCTTTGTATCTAACTACTTTCTAAAATCCTTTTCCTCAAAATAAATGTATAACAAGAATAACAAAATTTACCATTACATTATTTCACTATCTTATCAAATTGCATTCTGGAATACCATCACAGCTAATTTGAATTACTTCAGGCATAAGAGATTTATATCTGGTTATCATCGCAATGAATGATTGAAGTAGAGAAGCAATACTTTATAAGATTGATTCCTTGTTTATTTGCATGTGCAGACACATTTTCTTGAGAAGTGGAGCACTTTCGTCTCTTGCTACGTTTTCAACTATAGTTATTGTTTGTGGAGGCAGTTTGAAGATTCATCATCTCCTTCACTATTTATCATCAGATTGATTCCAAAAGCCTACAACATAAGCTTGTTTGAAGGCTTTCCAAAAAAAGAGAGCAATGTGAATGGATCTCTCTCATTTGCTTGTGTGGATGCCAAGAGGAACTTTTGTGGATGAAATGGGGAGTATCACTAGTATATTTAAGGATCCATATTCATTTTGAAGCAGTTGGCCTCAAAAGTAACCTGAAAAAACTGGTTGGGACTTTGAGGTGCCATGTTGATTCCTTGACCTCGTCCTTTTTGGGGAAGTACATTCTCTTCTTTCAAAGCCATAGTTGTGTGGGATGGGGTGGTGGAGAGATTTGAGCCGAGGATCACTACTTTGAAGAGACAATATTTATCCTAAGGGGGGCATATTGACTTCAATTAAGTGTGCTCTTTCTACTCTTCTCGCCTACTTGATTTTCACCTTCACTATCCCTTGTTTTATAGCAAAGAGACTGCAGAAAGTGTGAAGCGACTTCTTACGGGGAGGTTTAGGGGAGGATCTTAAGTATAATATTGTGACCTAAGTTACCAAAAAACACTAATACCCTAGCAAATTACGTATTAGTGCGCACGTTCCAAAATATGATACACTTCCATTCCAAAATAGTAAATTTAGTGATCTGAAACAATCTCAAAAGTTTTTTTCAACACATTCCTTAAATGCTACCTTAGGAGGGGAAAAAATCAAATATAATAAACTAAAATCTAAGATGAGTTAAGTTTTGACAAGACAAAAATATCAAAAATGAAAAAAGAAAAAAAAAATACATTTTATTACTTTAGAAGTACCTCAAATTCTTAATGTAATATATACAAGTCTATCCCTATCATACCACATTTTAGTGCATGTGGTGTACCATTTTCACGTTCACGTTCCTATTCCCGTTCTTGTTCTTGTTTCACGTACCAGAACAATCCACGTTCCAAGTAATATAGATTGTAACACAATGTGCTTTCCTATTCAAAGGGGTTGCTTGGGGTATTGCAAGTTGGAAGTGTTTAATAAAGCTTTATTAAGTAAATGGCTTTGGAGATTTGCTATAGAGGATGAGAGTTCGTGGAGGAAAGTGAAGGAAAATAAGTACGAGAGTGGTTAGGACAATTGATCTACAAGTACTCTGGTCGAGCCTTCTGAAGTACACTATGGAAAGGCATCACAAGAGTGTGGGATGATTTTGGCCAAAAGAATTTTGTTTGGGTGGGAGGGTGAGGTTTTGGCTGGATCCATGATGTGGCATAGACCTCTTATGGTGAACTGATTCCAAAAACTTCTTTTTTTTTTTATAAATATTCCAAAAACCAAAAACTATTTTTGATGGTATTTTTGCAAAAAAACCAACTTTTAGGAAACATCAAAAAATTATTTTCCAATTTTCGAGAACTGTTTCTGCACAACGATAAAATGACATGAAAACAATGGTTGTTTTTGAACTATTAATTGTTTTGTTTTCGAAAACACAAGAATCACAACAGAAAACAAAAAACAAAAACAAAAATGAAAACAAAAACAAACCAAACAGACCCCTTATCTTCTCTTGAGTGACAATGGGATGGTGTGGAAGCTGTTGCGGATTGAAAAGTCTAGTCTATAGAGGCATTCTTTGGCTTGCTTTACGGCATCGACATCCAACAATGCAACCCAAATGTCATAATTTGTACACTTTGGAGTGCTTCTAAGAAATAATTTTTTTCAGTTTTATCTTTTTATCCTGAATTGGACAGGATAAATCTTTCCAACCCCTCCTGAGGTTGTTTTCTTTACATGAACAGCATCTCATAAGGCTATCTTGGACCATTGACAATCTTAGGATGAGACATGAGGTGGTGATCGACTGCTGTTGCATGTGCCGACAAACGAGTGAAAATCTTAACCATCTCCTCCTTCATTAACCAGTGGCTATAGATCTACAAAATCTGGTTTGTCATGGTTTTTGTGTTACATGTGCTATGTAGTTCTCAGTGTGAGAGCTATTAGCTTATTGTGGTTTTGGTTGCCCAGGGGAATCGAATAAGAAGAATTAGCAAGTAACAATGTTAAATGTTTTATGGACAGTTGAGCAAGAACGCAATAGGATGTCCTTTAAGAACATTGAGTTACCTTTGTGCAGTTTCAAATATTCACTACTCCTTTATTTATTGTCTTGATTGAGAGAAGATTTTCATTTCTCTATTTCATCTTTTGTTAAGTTTTTAGGAGACTGTACAAGCCTGTTGATGTATAGCTTCCAATTTTTTCTTCTTTTAGTGTACAGGATTCAACTCTACATCCCCCTTTTTTTTTTGGGTGAATAACATCCCCTTTTTTTATATTATACTGTAACCATTACTTATAATAAAAAATTTCAGTGAAAAACACAGAGGGTGTTTTTTCTCTTAGTTAAACATGTGGGTGTTTGGGAAGTGGGTTTTTATGTAGGTTTTTTTAGTTGTACGATATTATTGGATAAAAAAATTTTGGTGTTTGGGAAGATAGTTGGGTTTTTTTGTGGTTGGATGTGATGTTTGTGAGAAAAAAAGTGAAATAATTATGGGATTAGATGTGATATTTTGTTTGGATGTGTTTTTTTTGATTTTACAAAAAATTTGTCTTTTAGTGAAAAAATTAAAAAAAAAAATCCCAAACCCAAGTTCCCAAACACCACCCATATCTCACTCTCCCTGATAACATTGGGTTGCTTTAGAGATTTTTCAGAGGAAAAAAGTAGTAGGACTCGAAATGCTTCCCAGAGACTTCTTTGGCAGGTTTTCTGGGATCTTTGAGATTCTTTTTGTTAACCAGAATTTTATCAAGATACCAAAATGAGGTTAGTAGAATACAAGTGCCTTTTCTGCTGATGAAACTTTTTTAGGCAATGTGAATTAGGAAAGCACTCACTAATAGAGGTGAATTTTTGTTCAGACCATTGAAGTTTAAAGTTGAGGATATTGAATCCGATGTCTCATATGTTTTAGTGTTGGTCCTTCCACATAAAAAGTATCTGCATTCTTTTAAAATTGCATTAAAAAAACAATTTGGGTTTAACTTTATTGCTTTGAAGAATGTATTGCCTTTATTAAAAAAGTACTACTCAGTTTAAATTTCATAGACAAATAACTTTGGTTATCAAGTTGAAATCTATTTTCATATAAACATCTTTGCATTTCTTGGGGTTTTGGGATTTTCTTGCTTGTAAATATTATGCATGTCTCGGTAGTTGATCATACATTTTTTTTTTACAGAAACTAGAATACCAATACTTTCTAAGTTGGTATTTACAGAAACTATAATAGCAATATTTCTAAGTTGGTATAATACAATTACACGACAATTATTTAGAAACCAAGGGTTCAATAATGATAAGCACAACAGATATAAAAAAATAAAGTACTTGAATGGTAGAACCATAAAAATGCTGAGAAAACAAGAAAAAGGACAACCCAGAGATAGTCCAGTGCAACATTTCCTTATCTAAGTTCATAAATGCAATGAGTGCCAAAACAAAGAGGGTGTCACCAATAGGATTAAAATTGGAAAATGAAGTTTTGGCAAGACAAGTGGTGTGATGAGGAACCTTCAGAGTTTTCGTTCCCATTGATTTTCTATATGACGCCTAAGAAGCATGGACACAAATACGCGACGACACAAACACACCCACACTCCAATTTTTAAAAAATGCATGATACGACACGTGAGGGACACGTATGAAATATATAATTTTATATATTTATTATATTTTATATATATATAAATACATCATTCAAAAATAATAAAAAATGCAATATGATATTAATTCTTATAAATTTATATAATTTTTATTTTATTATTGTATCTTAAATTGTTTTGTTCAAATTTATAATTAGTTTCACCTATGTCTAATCGATAGACACATGTGTCCTCTAATGTCCAAAGAGTATCAAGGTCTTTAAAAAAAATTAAAAAATATGACACGTTTTGAAGAGTGTCAGACACGTTTTGAAGAGTGTTAGACACGTGTCCAAGAAGTGTCAAAAGAGTGTCGGTGTCCTACACGAACATGACATGGATACATCACCTTCTTAGAAGTGTTCGTGCTTCTTAGGTGGTGTCCTATTTCGGTAGGAATGGGGATTTGGCAGTTTAGGGCATTAGATTGCGTTGGCAAGTCCAAGATTAGAAGGTTGGACAGTTGATGGATCTTCTATATAATCTGCAAATTAGGCTGGTAGGGAAGGATTGTGCGGCGTGGTCTTGGCCAAGAGCGAAAGGGTGTTTTTTCGATCTCTTCGTTTTACCAAGCTTTGATTGATGGTGTGGGTGGGGTGTTTTCTTTGCAGAGTATTTGAATTGCAGGTATTCTGTCTACAGTGGCTTTTTTTATGTGGACAACAGCCTTAGATAGAATTCTAACCATTGATAATCTAGTTCGTCGTCGTCACATTCTACTAAATTAGTGTTGTATGTGTCAAGGAGATGCAAAGTCTGTTGACTACTTGCTCATTCATTGTCCTGTTGCCTACTGGCTATGGGGGTTTATTTTTTCCATCTTTGGTGTGGTTTGGGTTCAACCAAGGAATGTGCTAGATGTTCTTCGAAGTTGGGTTGCATGTCGAGTTGGAAAGCGGTGCCGAAAGGCTTGGTCACTTGCTCCCCCATGCTCAATGTGAATGATTTTGTTAGAGCGGAACCGATATGCTTTTCAGGCTGCCACTCATCCCGTTCCGCCGTTGGAGAATAGGTTATTGACAGTTTTGTACAATTGGATTATAGGAAGTGTGGATCTAGATTCGGGTCCGGATCCGGATGTGTTTGCTTTTGTAGCTTTTTTGGATAATTTGATTAATTCGGTTCTGTTTTCCTTCATGGAATCCTTTCGTTGTATTCTTTTGTATCAGCCTGATGCTGCTCTCTAATAAAGTGTTTATTTATCAAAGTAAATATATATACACAATAAACAAACACTCCAAAAAATGAAAACGAAATATCAAATGGTGGCAATAAGATCAAACACCCCGGTACAGGATCTTGATCTTTGCAAGAAATTTTACTTGGCATCCCAAGTTTATGTTCTTCAGCTGATTCACAGCTTCTTTCTCCAGCCATAGTGTTTTGTATTCCCGTAGCCACAACATTACAATAAGCCCAGTGACAAAACTACAATACCAGTAATAAAGCAGCAACAGATGCAGAAAGAATAAATAAATAAGTTGAATAAAATAAAGTCCAGTATAGCAACAACTTAACATCAAAGTAATCTCTAAAGTTTGAGAAATTTTGATAAGTATTTCTAAACCATTTACCTCTCATTTGTGCGCCAAATTGGACCCGCATTATCCATGATAACCTTTAGCAGCTCAAGAGACAATATTTTTCCCCTCAGAAGGATATGATCATCAGGGTGCTCCTGTGATGAGAACTTCATTGATAATTTACACAGATTTTTGAAAAGCATAAATCCATCCTCCCTAATCTCTGAGCCACCATTGGAACCGGCTCCATCATTTGGCTCCCCATTTCCCAATTCACCTTTTCCATCCGCTCTTGACTCGGGCAGATTCCCATTTCGTGGTGATGGGTTTGAATCTGAAATCCCTTCACTTACTTCCACGACCTCATTAACCAAGTTCTGAGCAAATTGTACTGAACTCCCTTCATTCAAGTTCCTATCAGTAAACTCCAAGAGCTCCGCAACAGAAACGGTTCGGAATTTAACCAGTATGGAGTCCTCCTCAACCCTGGTGAAAACAATAACCATCATCTGCGCAAGAACCGACTTGGCACAGATCTGATTGGTCCCGTTTAAGCCACCAAGATAGACATTATAACAGGTCCTAACAATGTGGACGAGGCAATCGCCCCTGATAAGGACAGAGGAAGATCGGACGGCAGAGAGCAGCACTTTGAGGACGCCGAGCTCGATAGGCTCCTCTCCAAGACCGCTGCACTTGCAGACAGAATCGACGAGGCGGGAAATAAGAGAAGAAGCATCAGAGGAAGAGGAGGAGGAGAGGCGGTCGATTTCGCAGCGAATGAGGCCGAAGGAGAACAATCTGAAAACGCAGTCGAGGGCGGGCTCGACAACCTTGGGGGAGGCAGAATCAAGGGCGAGGATGAGAGGTTGAATGACGAAATCGGCATCGGAGGAGTTGGAGAAGCCGTACAAGGGGGAGCAGGAGGCTGGATCTGAGGAGGAGTCGGAGAGGGTGTCGAGCTTGTCGAGTGCTGATTTGCAGGCAGCAACCAGCTGGGAGTGCTTTCTCCATGCTACGTTCTTTATGATCTTGTCCAGTGATGGCCCCAGAACCCACCCACACCTTGAAGGACCCCCTAGGGTTTGCGAACCCCCTGACATCTCTCTCTCTCTCGCTTTTTCTTTATTACCACCACTGTTGGAGGCTCAGGCTCAGGCTCAGGCTCACAATAGTGATAATAATGCTTGGATTTTCAGATCTAGCTCTAGTTGAAAGCATGGGGAACAAACAACAATACATTCAGATATCTAAGTTGTTGGCGAAAAATAAGAATGTAATATTAATTTGCAGACAGAACAGAATCGAGAGAGAGAGAGACAGAAAGAGGGGGCTACTTTCCGGCGTCGGAGGTAGGGCAATTGCTCGCCTGAGGCGACAGATGCGTGATCGGTGGTTGTCGATTCTTCCTCTATTCAGGCCGAATGCGTATGCAGTAGTGTCATCCTTTTCCCTTTTTTACATTTGGTGATCAGTTTCTATCGTTGATGATCTGAACTAGGCTTAATCTGCGAACTTGACTTTATTTTGGGTGAGTATTTTTTTATTTTTTGCATTTTTTTTTTAAATTAAAAAAAATTATAAGTTAATTTTTAACTAATTTTTCAAAACAATTCTTAATTTTACACTACATGGAAACCGGACTGGATCAATCGGTTCGACCGGTTGAACCGTTGACTGACCGGGGTTCCGGTTCGAATATATCCTCTAAATCGTTCGAAACCAAAAGCCAAAATATTTAAAGACAATCGGGAAAATCAACGATTGAGCTACCGAACTAGTCGACTCGATGACGGTTTGCCATGTCGATGAAATTAAAAAATTTAAACTTTTTATATTTTTATTTATTTCTTAATATATATATATATATATTATGTATAAGAAAATTTTAATGGAAAACTCTTTTTCAAGGATCTCTTCTTGTAAGAAATCTCATTAAGAGTTTGAAATTATTGTGAAAGTTTCTACTAATTTATAAGAAAAATAATTCTTCTAATAAAACTCACGAAATCCACGTGGGATTCAATCAAATTTATTGAAGGAAAACTTGAAATTTTGATATCTCTTCAAAAATTTTGTTGTTCTTCCAATCAAATTATTTGAATTAAAACCATAAGAAGAGAATATTGAATATTTGATTTCTTCTTCAAAAATTAAAAGTAATAATATTTTAAAATGTATTATTATATTTTTTAGTAAAAAAATATTAAGAGAAACATTTAAGATAATTTAATTTTTTTGAATTTATAATTTTATACTTATATTTTTATTTAAATATAATTTTAATATATTTATTACGTCACGATTCGATTCCGGTTGAACCAGCAATCCGTCCACCTCAGCCTCTTTTCTGGTTCGCTCACCAGTCTGATTTTTAAAACATTGTTACACCGTCCACCTCAGCCTCTTTTCTGGTTCGCTCACCAATCCGATTTTTAAAACATTGTTACACTACTCTTTTTTTCATTATTCTATCTTGCTTTAAAGTTTATCAATAAATATAAAAATAATTAAGTAAATATCAAAATCCATGTAAAATAGTAGAAATCTTATCCATTCAATTTAGATTGAATCGAAAGCAATAGGAAAACATTACTTTCATCAAGTTTATAGTTAATTTTTTTTATTACTCATTCATCAAATTAACCTAAGATTTTATTTATTTATTTTGTCTCGTGTTATTTTATTTTATTTTTTTTTACATTTCATCCATTCAATTACTTCAATATGTCAAAACACTTTAAAATATACATATAGCACTAATCTATACATATATGTTAAGAGTGTGTTACATAATTCCTCATACTTAACACTGTGTTTAGTTAGAGAATTTGAAAAAGAATTTAGAAAAGGAAAAAAAAATGTGTAAAATTATATGAAATGTAGATATATTTTATTCATATTTTACTTACCTTTTTTTTTTATTTTCAAATATCTTTCTAAATTTTCCACCCAAACACAACGTAAAAGTATATATGAGCTTTTTCAAAGAACTTCTATGACAATTTCCAAAAAAGAAAAAGAAAAAAGTGAAATCTTATTTTCAAAGTTGTTCAAATTAATAAATATTTTTTTAATGTTTTATAGCATGATGATTTTATATATATTACATAACTTCACATGGCATGATGGTACTATTATTCATTAGTACTATTTAATGTGTTTGGTTTCAGTTTTTTTAAAATTAATTTTTTTGTTTTTTTTATTTTTTTATTTTTAGTGAATTTTTTTTAAATTTTAAGCACTTTTTTTTTACTTTTTTAGATAACCTTACTTAACTGTATTTGATGATACTAAGTGCTCTAGATGGAATGGGTCGGATTGATCCACGCTTCTCAAACCGTTGCCCGAGCGTCAAGCTCGCATAGAGACCTGCACAAGAGTTCAACAGGGAACGAGGAGTCCCCCAACAAACCCTCCGACGATCAAGTTAGAGAAGAGAGAGGATGATGGAATGTAGAGATATAGAGAGAGGATGGAGATAGAAAAACTTAACCTTCTCCTTGTCGTCGAAGCCTGCTTATATCATTTTTTCATCATTTCCTCTAAATTTTCCACCCAAACACAACGTAAAAGTATATATGAGCTTTTTCAAAGAACTTCTATGACAATTTCCAAAAAAAAAAAAGAAAAAAGTGAAATCTTATTTTCAAAGTTGTTCAAATTAATAAATATTTTTTTAATGTTTTATAGCAGGATGATTTTATATATATTACATAACTTCACATGGCATGATGGTACTATTATTCATTAGTACTATTTAATGTGTTTGGTTCAGTTTTTTTAAAATTAAATTTTTTGTTTTTTTATTTTTTTTTATTTTTAGTGAATTTTTTTTAAAAATTTTAACACTTTTTTTTACTTTTTTAGATAACCTTACTTAACTGTATCTGATGATACTAAGTGCTCTAGATGGAATGGGTCGGATTGATCCACGCTTCTCAAACCGTTGCCCGAGCGTCAAGCTTGTATAGAGACCTGCACAAGAGTTTAACAGGGAACGAGGAGTCCCCCAGCGAACCCTCCGACGATCAAGTTAGAGAAGAGAGAGGATGATGGAATGTAGAGATATAGAGAGATGATGGAGATAGAAAAACTTAACCTTCTCCTTGTCGTCGAAGCCTTCATATATCATATTTTCATCATTTCCTTGTCCACTCCGAGATGTCATGTTAGCCGAAAGTCTATGTTCTAGCTTGCCTTGTTCATGGTGAGGTTGTTCTGTTCCGACGTGAAGGGTTATCGTAATAAATGTTGCAGGGAAACTCATTAATGGCTGATGTGTGGTGCAATAACTCTGCAAAATTTTTGTCTTCTGATGTGGCTGGTTCTTCCCTTACCAAGTGTTTAGATGTCATTGGTGCTTGGTGTAACGTTGGGCTTCAAGAATGTTGGGTTTTAATATTTGAATCATGGACTAGACCTTAAGTGGTGGGCCATATCCTTTATGGGCCCATCCATGTAAGTAGTCCCCCATTCTCAAGTGCAGCTTCAGTCCAACGAAGGGAATATAAAGAAGAGGACACGTTTGAAAGTCGTGAGGCCGACAGGGTCCTGCGCCCACCCCAACAAAGCGGACAATATCCTACTAAGGCGCGAGAGATCAGAGAGTTGTGGAAGGTTGACAGAGAGAAGACCGACCGGGAGGTAGACCGAACGCGAAGGGTGACCGAGTGAGGCGACTGGCCGAGGAAGGGCCACCGCGCAGAGTGACCTAGTGAGAAGGCCAACTGAGAAGAGGGCCGACCACAAAGGGTGACCAAGTGAGAAGGCCGATTGAGAAGAGGGCCGACCGCGGAGGGTGACCGAATGAGAAGGCCGACTGAGAGAAGGGCCGACCGCGAAGCGTGACCGAGTGAGAAGGCCGACTGAGAGAAGGGCTGACCACGTAGGGTAACCGAGTGAGAAGGCCGATTGAAATGAGGGCCGACCGCGAAGGGTGATCGAGTGAGAAGGTGGAGTAGCGGTGCGCGAGGCTCGATGAGCGGCGGGGCACGTGGTGATGTGAAGTGGAATAGATAGGGCAGTGGATCGTGGTCGTACACGTAGCGGAATCCCATGGTGGGGGAGACAATGCGTTTAACAAGAAATGAAGGGATACGATAATATTTGAAAATGGGGGTTTGGAAAAAATTTTGAAAATTTTCAAACTGGTGAAATTTAAGCTTGACCCTTGGAATATAGGCAAACTGTGGGCATTTGGGGTTGTTCGCTTTACTTACCTTTTTGCAAAAAACCAAAACGTCCCATAAATAAGCTCATTTGTTTCCAGTGATACACCTCTGTAACACTTTGCGAACTTCTTCGTGCCAGCGTCTAAAGCTATACGTAGACATATAGGAGAGATGGCTCGAGACGAAGTGCCAACCACGAGACTAGACTCTTTGGGGGACGACGATGCAGTGGAGCTAGCAGAACAGTTTCGGGCGGAGCGAAGGGAGGAAAGAGGAGTGGAGGAAGTGGTGTGGGCCCGTCCGACGACGATGATCGTCGTCGCTAGGCCAATTAGCCAAGTGAAGCCGAACTACTAGCACACCAAGGCCGACAGGTCCACATTTATGGTGGAGGAGTTGGAGGAGGTACAAATGAAGTACCAAATTCCAACAGAGATAGAGTTGATATGCCCACATCTAAGGAGAAGGCGTCAGATGCGCGGCCTGCAAGTTCTCGTTGTACGAAGAAGCATTGCGGGCAGGGTTGAGGTTGCCCATCCCCCCAGTAGTGGTAGATATACTGAACCGACTAGAAGCGGTGCTGGGGCAGCTGATGCCCAATGCATGGAAAATTATAATGGCCTGCGTGATCACATGGCTACGGGCAACCGGGGGAGCGGCGATGACAGTGGAAGAATTTTTTTCTTGTTACAAAGCGTCCGGTCAGCAAGAGATGTAGGTAAATTTGCAGGCGGTGGCAGGTAAGGGGTTAGTGGCCGGGTTGCCATCGTCTGTAAAGGGTTGGAGACCTAGGTGGTTCTTCGTATCAGCGAATGGGGGGGAGGGGATACGCATGACATGAAAAGTCCCTACGAAGTCGGCGGAGCTGAAGTTGGGGGAGGAAGCTGAGGGTAGGGTCAAAAAGGTGAAGGAGTTGAGGGAAAATGAAGGTGTTAGGTGGGACGACCTAATCCGTCCTCTATCTTTACACGCCTTAGGTTTAGGACCGCAACAGGTGGGAGAAAACCCTACAGCGGAGGAGTTGGAGGCAAGCCGATGATGGAATGTAGAGGCGGAGGACCCATTCGAGGGCAGAAAAGTTTAAGGAGACACAGTTGGGGCCTACCCCTAAGTTGGTGATGAAAGAGTGGGTCCGACTGCGTCCCAAGCCGCTGGGCGACAAAGACTTGACTGGCTTTGCCCCACTGCCGCCCCTAGTAGACCCATTGAAGAAGAGGGGCAAGCAGGAGGTGGAGGCAGTGTTGAAGAAGGCAAAGAAGAAGATGAGAGTACTGACGATAAAGGGAGGAGAAAACGCCCTTGCCTTGAAGAAGATGAAGGTAGGGA